CTGGAACGAGCTGCCCCCAGAGATCCGGGTCATTCCGGATCTCCCCTCCTTCCGCCGCGCCCTTAAGACCTGGTTGTTCCAGCGGGCAGGACTGGCCTAGGGGTATTTTAAATTGGTTTTAGCCAAATTTTAGTAGAAGCGGCCGATTATATATTTATTTTTAATGATTTTTTAAAATTTCTATTGTATTGTATTAAATCGTTTTAACTGGCTGGAAGCCGCCCTGAGTCCTACGGGAGAAGGGCGGGGTATAAATTTAATAAAATGAAAAATGAAAAAATGAAATGAAGTACTGTTATATTTTAAAAAGCAGAAAAATATTTCTGATTTAATTTCATTTAAGCTTTAAATATAATTAATACAATTTCACCCTCTGTTACGTTAAAAAAAATCATGCAATAAATAGTTTTAGTAGTGTCAGGGGTGGTGATTTGCAGGTTTTGGGGAGCACATTTGGTATGTGAGGCTTTAGGTTGGGCACTTTAAAGTAGCATGAGGGATGAACCTGATACACAACCTGTTAAATCAAGTAATGAACCCATTGTTTTAAAGAGTTACAAAACTGCTATGCGTGTTGCACAAATGTTGTCCAGGTGATGACAAAACTTCTGGCCAAAGGCTTCTGGTACAATCTGGCAAATGTACCTCATTCCTACCCCTCCCCACACAAGTTTAACTTTGAAAAGGTACATGATTGTATTCCTATTCATCATAGTGACAATGTTTCCTCTGAGAATGATCAAATTAGATTAAATAGAGTATGGATAAAGTGTATTTAGCTTATGCAAAATCTCATTGGTTATCACTTTATCAAAAAAAATTCTTGTATTTTCAGATTGATGGGACATCTTCCTCTTCTCCAGAAAGTGAGTAATTTTCTATTTGGTAAGATGCAGATTATCTGGGGTACCTTATCACACTGGGCACAATCAGATTGGGAATTCTTTTAGGTAATTGCATTAAAATAAATAAGACTATTTATAGACTAATTAGTAGCGATAACTAGTGGTAATTTCATAGAATTTGGGCTGCATTTATCTAAGTAAGTCACACTTGATTATTTATATCCTCTTTAGAATTAATTGTCTAGTAGTTGCAGATCTAGTCCTCTGCTCATACTTATGGATCAAGTATAAAAAATGCCTTGCCCAAGCAAATGGTAATGTTATATCTCATATGACCTCAAAAATTTGGTCTCTGACCTAAACTTCTAAATTTTTAATCCCTTTCACCCAGCTAAAATATCAAAATGATGAATTAATTAAAGGGCAAACTATTATTTGCAAAATTATCCATAAGATAATTTTTTAAATAGTCACCTGTAACCTTACCTATTATCAGCTAAAAAAACAACCCATTCACCAGTTCACAAGAAAGTTTTTAGAAAGAATTTAAGGAAATATTTTCTGTAATGTATCTGTAGTATCTGTAGTATCTGTAGCAATTTAAATCATTTTTGGCTGGGGACTTCTGGGAACTGAAATCCAGACATCTTAAAGTTGCTAAGGCTGAGAAATGCTGGGTAAATTGGTTCTAAATTGGAAATAGTTCAGTTACTGAAATTCTTATAACTTCCATCTCAGTAAATCTTGTTAAATCTGAGTTTGTGAGAACAATTAGTTTTGCTTGGCTTTGAACTGTCAATCTTAGTAAGGGTACCAAAAGGCCTAGGTTGCTTTATCACCAGGTTTCACCTTTTGAGCTCCGAAAAGCACCTTTTGGCTCCAGCATTCTTCCTCTGCAAAGGGGCCTGGTTAAGATAACTGAAAGTAATGCTTTCTTTACAGAGGGAAATACTACTGAGACCAAACTTGAGTTGGCTTCTGTTTCTCCTCAAAAGCCCATGGAGGCAACAGCCAAAGAGCAACTGGAGAATGGAGACATGTCAGGAGATGGTGGGTATTAGCCATTGGCAAGGTCTGCCATTAGGTAAGGGATCAAGCCAGGTCCTTGGGTGGTGATAAAAATGAAATCCACAGTCCAAAGTATAACCAGCACACCTGCTGAGCAAGTTTGCATCTGTCACATGATTTCTTGCAAATATGGACTTTGATATAGAGTGGTAGAAAATTTGCCATTACAAAAATATCTTGGTTTCAGCTGTAAGGAGATTGCTCTTTTTTCAGATCAGGACTTTTGAAGGTTCATTCTGGTTTTAGAAGAGTAATCTGGGTATGCAGTGGGGATGGTAAAAATTACTACTTTGTTTTGCTGAGAGTTTGTGACAAATGAAATTCTGTGGTTCTCAGGAGCTCTTTAGATTTTCTTGCTGATAAAGTATTTAATGGGAGAAATTAATCTCTGAAACAGGCTTGCTCATTGCAGTTATTGACCACTAAAATGCTAAAACATGGAGAGGATTCAGTGTATATTACATGCACTTTAGCTTCATGCAAAATTATGGTAAGGCCCAATTTCATGAAATGATGATTTATCCTATACTGTTCATAAAATCTGCTGCATGGGAAACTTCTAGTTTGCAGGCCTCATGAGAGTCACATGGTCCTTGGCGTGTCTAGATAGCTCCTTCCTCATAAGGTCTCCCCCTTCTGCCAAAGCCCTGGTCTTTCCACCCCACCCCACCCACAATTTCTGTCAGAAAGATTTTATCTCTGATTAGCAGCTGATGGGAGATAACTCTCTTCATATGCATACAAGCACTATTTTGTACGAAAAACAGCTTTAATAGCCCCATAGTGCAGGGCTTTTCAACCAGTGGTACGGGTACCACCTGGCAGGTGGTACGCGAACATCCTAGAAAAGTGGTAGTGGGGGAGGGGAATGAGAGCGCCACCAAGTGGGCAGGCATGTGTCTTGCTCGGCTGTGCCTTGAGGGGCACTTTTTTCAGTGCCATTGTAACTTCGAACAGTCACTAAGCGAACTGTCGTAAGTCGAGGACTACCTGTACTTTATCACTTTTTTCCTTTTTTTTTTTTGTCATCAAGTTTTTGACACCTTGCTAGGCGACTGGTGGTACTCGGATATTGCCATATCCTAAAAGTGGTACAATGGGTGAAAAGGTTGAAAAGCCCTGCAATAATGGATAATAGAGATATTTTAAAATGTCTTTATTAAACAGTTAGTAAAAGAGGTTTGTTTTTCCCCTAAAGACAGAAGGAATAACTTGCCTTTCCTAAATGTGCTTTTTGACTCAGTACCACAGTAACTATCCATGACGATTATTCTACAGATTTCTTGGATGTGTTCTGAGGATTTTGTATTAGTGTAAATGGGATGTATAGGGAATGTTAGGCTGAATATTTCCCCTCCCCATATATATGTTATGTTCTGCTGAAACCTGCTTGCCCTCTGGGATACTCTTCAAGGGTGACATGTGTTTCTGGTTTTGTGCTATTCCCCCCTCCCTGCTGTTTCTGCCCACTCCTCCTTTCTCTCTCCCTTCTCTTCCTACTTGCCCAGAGGACTAAGGAACAGTGTCGTTTTCCAAGAGGGTGCTTTTAAAATCAAGCTTTAAGTTTCAGCCTGTCTCCCTCTGCGCTGCAAAACACAGTGTGTGCGTGTGTATGTCATAGATGGGGAGGATTCTATAATATGGAAGCTGTAAGCATTCTTTGGTAGAAGGGACATCTTGTGTGGGAAGGGTTATCTGAAACTTTCAAACGTGAACACCATCACATGAAAGTGAAGCTGGAAAGATAAAGTTATTGTGCAATTTCCTCAGTGTCATCAGTTCATCTGCGCTTAATGGAGCTTCTTGGCTAGCAGACAGATCCCTACCCAGGAGGTTACTTGCAGAATTAGAGCTGTAAGTAAGAGAAATAGGAATCAGACAAAAATGGGGAGATAGATCTAATTAAATGCAGCAGACTGTACCATGAATTTGGAAACAGGGATTAAGGGGCTGAGTCAAAGGTTGCTTCATCTGCTACGTAGTGGGGTGCCTGAAATAGAAATTCTGAATTGCATTATCTCCTCCCACCAATGCACAATCCCTTAGGGAAGATCTCTGATGGAAGCCGCATTGAACTAAATGGAAACGGCACAACTGCCCAGATTTAAATCAAGGTAGGAAGATAAGCCAGATCATGGTGTAAAGGTCAATCTTTTGGTTATACTCTAGCCTCCCTGATGCTGCAAGATCACTTATATCCTTATGGAAGATTGTCAGATTTAAATAACTGGGTGGATTATCTTGAGAGAACCTGCCATAGTCGAAAGAAAGAATCCTCAATGTCAGTATCCTGAGCAACCCTGGTAAAGCTCCACCTTGTACAAAGCAGGCCTCAAACAGAGCCTTGGGGTATCCCACTGCTTACTTCTCTCCAAGTAGATGTAATTCTATTAAGGACTAAACGTTCAGTGTGGTTTGTCAGACAGTTACAAATCCATCTGGTGGTGATGTTGTCTATCTCACATTTTTTTAGTTTACCAAGAAATAGGTTGTGGTCTACTTTATCGAATGCTTATGGAAATCCAAATATATTATGTCCGCCAGCATTTCGCTGGTCCATTAATTTAGTCACTCTGTTGAAGAATGAAATAAGGTGCCATGTCCAAACTAGGGACAAAGAGGATCATCAGATTAATATGAATCTCCTCCATGTCAAACTGAGAGGTATACTTTTATCAAAAAGCTATCACCCTCATCGCCTATAAGACCCAGGTTTTGGAGGCAGGTGGAGGTCAAGAAAGCCATAATACAGCAAACCATAATCTGTACTGTAAACCATTATGAATTTGGCAGATGTGTTCAGCTCCGAGAATTCTAAAATCAGCTCCGAGAATTCTAAAAATTATAGTTCTCATGCATAAGGAGAGCACAAAGTTGGGGAAGGTTGGCTTCTGTATTATTGGTGATATTTAAAAAGAGAATATAGATCAGGACCAGAAAAGTCTGACATTTTCTTTTGTTCTCCAAAGGTATTTCTGGCAATGAATGCAGCTCTGAAAAAACAGGAGTCAAAGTAAACCCTGTGACTATAGAAGGTGGGGACTTTCCGCCTCATCAAGGGAGAATCGAGGCTGCTCCTACTACGAAGAATTTGGATCCTAGTGAAGCCCCTGCTGCTCACCAAAGAAAGCTGGCAGTGGAAAAGATGGTCATCAGAGATCATTTGGGGCAGGAAGTGGGAAGCATGGATGCTGTTGGGCAGACACAGAACTTCATTAGAAAAGAAGACGAATTGGAAGACCATGATAACATGGGAAATGACTGTGAAGAATGGAATACTTCAGGTAGCCTTTGCAATGTGGTGGATCAAAAGAAGACTGGTTGTGCTACTGAAAACCACCTGGACTGTGATCTTGATAGCCGTGATGGCCCAGAGGGAGCGTCTCCAACTTCCCATGATCAGCAAAACCCTTCCAACCTTCTGCAGGACAGTGCTAACTGCCTTGATTCCCCCAGGAAGCAGGGAGATAGTGAGCAGGAGATAGGCTTGTTGGTCAAGGAGGCAGTTCTTATGGAAATGGGGCAGAAAGAACTATCAGAACAAAATGCAGAGGAGGCAGAGCCTGCCAGAAACCTGGCAGTCTGTGATATTGCTACAGAAGAAGAAGCAGTGAACCAGGCAAATCTTACACAGAAGGAAGAGATGCAAGAATGCCATGAATCAGGAGAGGGGGAAGAGACCAAACAATCTGTTTCAGACCAGATCTCTCCTGGTCAGGAAACAACAATTCTGAACCCTTTGGAAGAGGCTAAGCTAGATCCGGTAATGACTTCATCTCTATCAGATCAGATTCCTTCTCTGCCAGATACTAAAGTATCCCTTCCAGAACAGAATCCATCATCTTTTCAGGAAACTGAAACTCTATTCCTGGAGTCAGAACAGCCGTTATTACCACATCAGAGTCCATCACCCCTTTTGGACCAATCTGTTTCACTGCAAGAAAATAAGGATTCCCTTCTAGGTCAAATCCCATCTTCACTGCCAGAATCCTTTATAGCATCAAATCCATCATCTTTGCAGGGTCATGTTTCTTCTCCAGAACAGAAAGCATTCTTATTACAAGATGATACTACTCCTCAAGAAACTAAATGCTTCTTGTTGGACCAGACCCAATCATCCATACATGAAGCTAATGGAAAAAATCTGGACCAGATCTCAACAGCTCTTCAAGAATGTAGTGATTCTGTGGTAGATCAAATACTGCCTACCTCTCCAGACCAGCTCACATCTCTGCCAGAAAAGATTTCTTCCTCATTAAATGAAGGACAGAAATCACCCCACATCTTGCCAACTGTTCTGGACCAAGAACAGTCTGTTTTGGAGATGAAAGGTCCCCTTCCAGATATAGCCCCTTCTGTTACTAATCAACTCTCTCCTCTATCTGATCAAATCATGTCCCTTGAAGAAGCCAATAATTCTTCCTTGGAAGAAGTTCCAGTACCTTTGCAAGTCCAAATGCCAACTGTTACAGAATCTCAAACACTGCTTCTTACTGAGGCTGATAAGTTTCCTTCAGGCCAGATCCCGTTATCTGAGAATGAAAAGAAGGCAACACCAACAACTGAGCCAGACCAAATTCCACTTGCCTTACAGGACCAGAATCCCCCATTTCTGGATGGCAAGGAGGTGACAGGATCTCTAACTGATCATTCACCACTTCAAAGTCAGTCCTCTTCCTGTTTTCTAGAAGTATCACTTCAAGACCAAGCTCAACCAACCTTAGTGGAGCACATGTCAGTCTCTCTGCAGGACCAGACCTCTTCCCTTAAAGAAACAGAAGAGACTCTTGCAGGAAAGACATCTCCATTTCTTATGGAAGAGACACCTGCACTGTTGGATCAAGCTCCAACCACTAAGAAAGACCAGGGTCCAATACCACAAGAAACAACTGTCCTTGATGCTTTGCCGACTGTGAACCAAGTCTCTGCTCAACCCCTTCTAGATGCAGCTGTAAATTCAAAGAATCAAGAATTGAAAGAAGATAGAGATTCTAATTTGGCTTCAGAAGCAGAGACCACTGAGATCCAAGAAAATATTGCTGCTGAGCAACAACCTTTGTTGAATGAGCTGAAAACCGCAGTAACCCCACAGGACATTTCTCTAGGAGATCAGCAGCAGTCCAAGAGTGGGATCCAAAAGCACCAGGGAGCCTCAGTCCAGGAGGCCCCTATTTACATCACCACTGATGGCAATCCTGCCTCATGCCACCTTCAACCTGCAGCATCACACCAGGAGGAGGGTCAAGAGCAGGGGCAGAACAGACGCAAGCAGAAGACGTGCCAGTGCTGCTTGGTCATGTAAGCTTGGCGTCTTTCACGAAGTTGAGGAGAACAGGTGTCATTGATCTGGTCCTAGCAGCAGGCTCTGAAAGTGGTAACATGCCCTGCTAATCATGTAGTGTAAGCATCTCACACATTCACGCATGCGCATGCACACACATGCATACAGTACACACTCCATGGAGGGACTTGGAGGCGAGTTGCATAGATGGGTCCATGGAAGGCTTGCTGCGTCACAAAAGAGAGTGTTCAATGACAGGATTGTTTCTCTTTATTGATATCTCCTAGCTCATCTCCCAGCTTTCCTGGAGGCAGCATATGAGGAATGCCCTGCTTGGGCAGATTGTATTGGCCCACACACATTCTCCTGCAGCATGCACACTTCTTCATACACTAGTAGTGTAGACCTGCATTTTTCTTGGCACTGTCAAGTACTGTATCACCATTCCCTCCACTTATAGTTTATGTGCCTGCATGTCATCCTTCTTGTGCGTGCATGTACATTACATATTTAGAATGCACATGTATGTGCACAAAGGTTATTAACATGCAAACCAAGATAGAGGCATATCCATCTTTTCTTCATTTGGCTTGCAAGGCATTTTCTTATCTTGGAAAACACCTGAGTTATGTGCCATTACAAACCTACAGGCTTCTGCAACTTTTTCACAGGGCTGGACACAAAGGCTACAATATGCATGCAGAACTCCTGCCATCCACACTCTCCGCATGTGCCTAAACCCCGTCTGCTGAGTTGGCATGACTCACCAAATCAATCTGAGCCCACTCCAGACACTGAGCAATACCCTCTTCCTCCTGTTCCCACCTCCTGCACCTCTGCTAAGATGGCCAGCTGAACACAACTACTCTTGCAGGGCAGTGACACATAGGACACAAGAGGACATCCTGCCAATAGGTGGTGCGTTGCAGGGACTTTGGTCAAGGCACTACTGGAACCTTCTCTCCCAAATGTGGTCTCCAGCCAAGATCTCGTGTGTGGTAGACTCAATCTTCTGCCTCCCAAAATGGGACTAAGAACCCTTTCCTAGCTCTGACTCTTCCCTTCCTATAAAAAGCCTGGGTTTGTGTCCTGCTAGGTCATAGGCTCTTCCCTCAGCCCTTCACATCCTCCTTTCGGTGACTGTTTATTCTATGCACTTTGTTTAATTTTAGTTATATAAACTTCTGTTGGGGCCACCACCTAAGCCAGTAAGAGCCTTTTACATGTCAGTTTCTGGCTAATACTGATTCTCAATTAAAGTCAGATGCAATGACAAGTGAGACCTGTGCCTCTGCTTGGGGATAGGGACGTGGGATTTGTCTCCTGGGCTTGGAAATGGGGCAGGCTAGCAGAGCTGTCTGATGATCCACTTACCAAAGCCCCAGGGTGATCTGGGGAGTAAGGGGTAGACAGATGAAGAGTTGGTGATCCTGTCTCTTGTCCAAAGTTTTCCAGTCCTGGGAAAGAAGTAGCAGTTAAAAGCCACTTCGCTATCCCTCCTTTTCCAACAAGGGCTTATCATGAATAATAAATAATAATGCATTATATTTATATATGGCTTGCAAAGTGCTGAAAGTACACCTCATGCAGTCTCAGTCATACTTAACAATACAGTTAAGTAGGTCAGTGCTCCATTACGTAAGAGAAATGGAGTGGGGAAAGCAGAGGCTGGAAGAACAGATCCCTTGCTTAAAATCTCACTCTGTGCCTCAAACTTCTTGTAGCTTTTTCCTTCTAGTTATGGTTGCTGAGATATTATAAGGAGTCAGCACAAGTAAGCATTGCTGAGTTGAAGTTTCTTCCAGGGGTCCAATTCCAAATGTTCCATGGGGAGAAGAAATAGCAACAAAAGTCATCTGAGATGCATAATATATACCAGGTGTGTTCTTGGCAAAGCTGATATTTGGAACTGGATTGGTGGTGAGGTTTGAGCTGTAGGTGCAAAAAACCCTGCCCACTGTCTTGTGTCAATATAAGGACAGAAGTGGTATCTGAGTAAAAACAAACAGTGTTCAATTTGGGGGCAAATACATATAAAATTCACAGTGCTAAGATTACAATGTATATTTGTAGACACAGACATACATACCTTCTTTTTCAAACTGACCAAGGACAGAAACTGATACAAGAGAAAAATCAGAGGAAAGCAAGCTTGATTTTGAGCCCCCTTATTAGATCTGCCCATTTCTGTCAGCATATAGGACAGTGATGGCGAACCTTTTAGAGACCGAGTGCCCAAACTGCAACCCAAAACCCACTTACGCATCGTCGAGTGCTGGGTGGGTGTGGCCCATTGGGTGGGTGTGGCCCATTGGGTGGGCGTCACTGCGGTGGTAACGGCAGACTGGGTGGGACTAAAAAATTCAATCAATTCCAACTTTGCAAGATCTTTTTTTTTTCCGCGAGAAGTTGAAATTGACTGATTGAACCTTTTTTTTTTTTGCACACGGCGGCGGAGGCCTAAAGCGAAAAGGTTTTATAAAACCCAGCTGAAGGCCTAGGACTGGGGCGACGTCGCACGTGCCCACAGAGAGGGCTCTGAGTGCCGCCTCTGGCACCCGTGCCATAGGTTCGCCACCACTGATATAGGACCACCTTTTGTTGTCCATGATGATTTTCCCACCTATCCTATATCACTACTGGCCACTTTGCCTGTAGGACATTGCTGCACACAAGCTCCTGAGAAATTTGTATGACCACATGGGAAATCATCTAAAGTGACGCTTTTGTTGGCTTTCCTACCCAATCTTGTATTTCCCCAACAGGTACTGTGACTTTCTCACTAGAGTTCTTTCCTGAGATTTAAGACAATTTATAACTTCTTTCTGTTACAGAAGCATAATAGTTGTGCTATGCAACCAAAACAGATTTTGGAAGGTCTGGAGGGAGAGAAGGTGAGAGGGGGTTTCATAGTGTACAATGTGTGACAAAGCTATACTTGATCCTTTTTAGACTTAGGCAGGGAGGGGGGAAACGGATTTGTCAGATTTGTAGCCAACCAGTGCACCAAAAACAGATATTCACCAGACATCTTGGAAGAAGAGGTCCCTGCAAGATCTTCCTTGGAGACTCATATCATGCAGGCTGAACTTGGTAAGAATGAGATGTGAAATTGATCAAGCCAAGCCTTGGTTCAGTGCCCGAGGCAGTGGATTTGACAGCTTTGAGAAAAAAGCACACATCATTTTAATTTTCACCCAAGATTTACGAGGGACTCTTTTCTCATGGACGGTTCACAAAAGAGACAAAGTGCCATTTCATTTTACTAAATCCTACTGAGAAAAGTGAGCCCAGAAGTTTGTCTTCCCAGCTTGACCTACCTGGACCTGCTCTTTAGCAAGGCTGCCAAACTCTGCTTTCCCCCAAATCCCAAAGCCACCTCTTTTAATGTGACAGCAGTCACTTTACCAATGCCACGACTAAGGCAGGGATTGATTTTGTGTCATCTTCATGTATGTTCTTCATCAGACTTTCATTGAGGATACCTGTACAATATTTGCCTTTGTAATAATTATAGTGATTATACTTTTTGCTCATCACTAGAAGGCAATATAGGATCCGTTTCATTCCTACTTGAGTTTGTCAGCCTTAGGTGGCCCCCACAGGTTAAGCCTGATAAATTGTATTCAACCAGAATTTGAACTCATGGTCCTTACAATATATAGCAAATATCACCACTGAAATAGAAGGTTATATAAATTCCACACTGCAGGGAGGACCTGAAGTTTCTAGTATGAGCCCCAGACAAAATAATATCTATAACCCTCTATCTGAGAGTGCAAACTAATAAGAAAGGAGGGCATAGTTCAAAAAGCCATGGGAAATTATTTTGATATATGATTATGCAGCGAGATTATATGCACAGAGATGAAAAAATTGGCTGCTCTATCCACTATGGAGGAATGATTAGTGAACCTGAATTGATAAATTGACTTTTTTATTAGAAAAAAAATCTACATTTATTGGTGACTAGAAGTCTCTTATGTACTTTTGCATAAATGTGAAAAAATGAACATGATTTATGGTTTTGATGATTAGACAGGATAAATTATGGAAAGAAGAGATTCGTGTTGTAACTTTAAACAGAGTGTTTTAAAAAATATCTGCACTTATAACTACTGTAAAGAATATCGGGAGCCACTTCTTTATATTTCTTTCTTTTCTATTTTTCTTCTTAAAATTATATTTTAAAAGGTCACCATTCATAACATCTACCTGCATTTCCCCACTTGCACCTACCTGTGGAATCAACATTGGATCTTTTATTCCCTGCCATTTATTAATTGATTGAATTTCTATCTAATGCCAGAACACTCTGGGTGGCTCCACTAAATTAAAAGAGTATCTAAAAAAGACGCTAATTGTCTGAGGGAACAGCATTGCTTTGTTCCACATCTCCCTTCACTTAATGGGGCTCACCCAAATATTGCCTTCATCTCATCTTCAACCCATGCCTGAGGCAACCTAAAGAAATAACCAGGTTTTTAAATGCTAAGTAGTGTTTTGCCCATTTGACAAGAAACAAACCACACCAGCTTTGGCATAGATGCGAGTGAACCTGGCTCACCCATCATGCAGTCCATAGTTCCAGTTAAGTGAGATTAGCACAGCACCTCTTGATCATTCAAAGCTGGTGCAGATCTGCCTTCACTAGCCTTAAGCACTATCTTCCAGAGCCATTCAGCTGTGGGCAGTGAGAAAGCCTAATTATTTCAAACTGGGCTCTGCTCCTGACAGGCATCCGACTCAATCCCTAAATCAGACTGAGCAGCATCTAAGCAGCCAATGGGGAACAGAGACGTAGGCCAGCTCTGTGAAATGAAATAAAGACAGCTGAACTGTCAGCTGGCTGAGCTGGTTGGGAATGAAGACTTACCACTCTTCTGGGGATCAGATGTAAGTTTAGTGCCACTTCAGCTTAGTAGTAAATTTGTGTCAAAAGGAGCCTCTCTATTAGCTCAGGCAAAAGACTGGAACTAAATCTGCCTGTCCAGCCTCCCTCAAAACCTGCCTCCAGACCCCATTAAAGAGTGATGAGTGAACATTTTTCTGCCACCTGGTGATGCTTAGTGGGAGGGGAGGAAAACAATTAATCCCCCAATCCCTGTTCCTAATGTGCCCTGTGCACTGTAAGAAAGGATAGCACCATTGGCTGCCATTTTACCTGTGGCAGGATAAGAATACCAGCAAAAGCAGCAAACATTATGCCACTATAGATTTGTGAGGACCTAAAAGCTAGTGGAATGAGAAACAATTCAATAACAATCTTCACTCCCAGGCAGCATTTTATTTTAATTTCCATGCCTAATTAGCTGGAATTTTACTGGAGAGCAGTAACCAATATAAATTTGCAAGAGAAGAACTACAAGAACTGTTTTGGAGTCCCATGCATCCAAATATGCTATTTACCTTTACAAAATGTGAGGCGCATCTAACCAATAAATATATAGTTTCCTAGCAGAAACTGCTGGATCAGAACAATGGGGTATGTGAAAATGGATGAGTTTGAGAGTTTATGTATTATAGAAATTGGGGGTTCAAGTTATAGAAGCCCTGCATAAACTTTTTAAAAATAAAATTGGCTTGGTTGGAAAATTATGTCTACCTGCAAAAACAAGCAAACAAAAAAAATCTGAAGTGGGGGATAACACCCCATCAGATTGGAGGAAGTGTTGAAAGACAACCTAATTTATTTTCAAGTAAACGGCTGTTTTGTGACTGGTCTCACTCATCACAGCACACTCTCAAAACTCCTAATGTACTTCCTGTCCCAAAAGAGTTGCCTGCCCTGATGCAGGAGCCAGAAAGTCAGCATGCCAGACAAATGCTCTCAAGTTTTTGGCATGTTGCTTTTTAGTCATGCCATTTGTAGAACAAAATGAGAAAAGATCTCATCATCTAGAACAGTGGTTCTCAACCTGTGGGTCGGGACCCCATTTGGGGTCGATCGACCATTTCATGGGGGTCGCCAAGCAAGGCTGTCCGCCATTTTTTTTGTCCGCCATTTTTTTTCCCCTTTTCCGGCGGGTGCCTTACCTCCCTTGGGCTGGGCCAGCTGGTGGTCGGCCTGCTCCGTCTCTGCCGCTTGCCAGCTACGCCTCGGCCAGCGCAGGAGGCGGAACCACGCATGCGCGGCGCTCCTGGGCAGGGAAAGTCCTCGACTTACGACCGGTTGGGTAGTCCTCGACTTACGACCGGCTTAGTCCTCGACTTACGACCGGTTTAGTCCTCGACTTACGACCGGTTTAGTCCTCGACTTACGACCGGTTGGGGTCGCGGCATTAAAAAGGTTGAGAACCACTGATCTAGAAGTCTGTATATTAAAAACAGGCCAAGTGAATAACCATAGCATGCTGAATGGAACCCGTGAAACAAGCTTGAAAGTGAAAAAACTTATGAGAAACAACAAAACCTTTAGGAAATAACCAACTTCTAAAAAATATCCAAAATACTGTATTAGAACTGTCCTGCCTCCTAGTGGTGAGAAGGGAAATATTGCTAGCATTTAAAATGTTGGTTAGTGGTACCAAATATTTATTCTTGCTTATGCATTTACAGTTAAAGGATGCATAGAAATATGCCAAGATATAAGCAGCAATAAATGATTGTTTGCCCATTTCAGTACAGCTATATCTTACTCAGACAGCTTCCCTTATAACTTGTTTTACCATTTCAGACAAGTGACTGTTCTGGGCAGTCTCCTGCTTGAGCAGGGGGTTGGACTAGATTCGATCTCCAAGATTCCTTCCAGCTCTATTCTGATTGATTGATTGAAGTTCTTGTATCTCTAAATCTTGTTATTCCACCCATTTTGAAGGGGGCATTCCTTATTTTGATCTCTCCCTTCTCATTAGCTCCCCCAAAACCCTAGAGGGTGATGCTGCTCAAAATTACAGCTCTACACTGGAAAATCACACGATTGGTGCATGTTTTTCTTAGCATAGAATGATTACAAAGGAGAGAGAAGTGAGTCTTCATAAAGAGAAAACCACTAAAGTAAACTTGTATTCACTTGCAGAGAGTGTTCAGCCAGAACTCTACTAATTGTTACAAAAATAATGAGAGAAAATGCAGGGATTATTTGATTATGGCAAAATAGGAATGACTGCCGAAATAAAGCCTAGGTTCACACATCACACTAAGCCACAATGTAGTGTGTTTGATTTTTGTTTGGTGTAAACCCACCCCTTACAGTTTAAATCTCATGATGTTAGAGGATTATTATGTGTTGTTATGTTGGTGTCAATTCTTAGTGATCAGGTAGAATTTTTCCCAGCAGGATGATCCTTCAGGTCTTCCAAAGGTGCACCACTATAACTGAGTCCATTCACCTTGTTGCTGATCGTCCTCTTCTTCTCTTTCCTTCCACTTTTCCCAGCATTCTCCAGAGCTAGGCCTTTTAATAATGTGACCAAAGTATGATAAATCTGATCCTTGACATTTGTGCCTCAAGAGAGACCGCTGGGTCTATTTGTTCAATGATCCATTTGTTTGTTTTCTTGGCTATCCATGGTACACTCTGAATTTCAAAAAATGAGATGACTAATGACGATTATTTTGCTGTGGAAATAAGATCAGTTCAGTGCACTGGAATGGATATGTGGCTATCCATCTACCAGCCACGATAGCCACGATAGATCAAGGGGAACTCTCTCTGATCCCTGACGGTTTTGCCATTGCCGGCAATGGGGTGAGCGCGGCTTCTGGATGACGCGTCCGGCCTGCGGGCCGGCAGTTTGACACCCCTGCTATAGAAGAATTGGAGACCAGAATTTCCATGTTGCATACTGTTTGTAATTTACTGGCCTTGTTGAGGTATTGATCTGATCTAACAAACCTCTATGCCCTTAAGAAATCATAAAGAACAAACTATGCACCTGCCAACTAAATGGGGGGGGGGGCAGTAACGCCTCCTGCTCCACATAGATTCAGGGATTGACGTATAAGATCTTTCAACAACGAAGCTCCAGCCCACAAGATTCCTTTGGAGAAGCATGGCTTTCCGGTATTCGACTTGCTGCTATGGCCAGGAAAAGAAGATGGACATTAACATTGCAATAATCAAAGAGTTGAGAAATGAATGGTGGAAAAACACATGACAATGTCTGTACAAAGGAAACAACTGCATGCACGAGGTAGCTTCTACATTGGGCTATTTAAGCCCAATTTATCCTTTTAGAAGCATATGCTGCTGCTTCTTAAAATAAATATCTATGAACTACAAAATGGATTATATACAAATATTTATTAAACCTTATTCCTATTTTCCCAGTAAGCTGGATTGCACTAAGAGAGAGTGATTGATCACCCAGCTAAGGAGAACCAGAACTCATGGCCTCCCAGTTGTTAATCCAGCACCTCAGCCAGTATACTGAAACAGTTTATAACTTTTGGGTGATGGGAATTGCTCTACCCTTTAAAAAGTAAAATTTTACAGACCTTCTTGGTAGAAAGTAAAAAAAGTAGGTTTCCTCAGTTCCAGCCTGGGGAATTTCACAGCTGCTGGGCTATAGTCACAAAGGCCCTTTTTCTAGCACCTTATGAAAAAGTCTGATTGGACATCTTTGAAGAAAGGACCCGTCATCCAACACAAACACCAACTCCATATTCTGGAGATATGCTAAAGATCAGAAGTGACCTCAGAAGCCTCTCAGCAAGAGAGTCTTGAAGACCTTGGAGACTGGATCAGGTCACTGCAGTCTCTGGCTTAAATTCATTGCCCTGTTCGTTTTAAGCAGATCAAAGGATATTAAGAGACATTTCAGTCATTTCATCCAAAGGCACAGTAGGAGCTTCAAAAGCCCAAGGAATGGTCCTTCCAAGAGAAATTGGATCTGCAGCTGGATCAGAAGTAGCAGCTGAGCAAATGACCCCAAAAGGATCACGTCCCCCTTTCTCTTAGTCCAGAAAATGGAGAATTGTTTCTTTCCTGCTCAATCCAATTCAGAATTTCCTCTTGAGTAGGAAGAAATCGTTTTTCATAACCAGAAATCACCATGGCATTTGGTCTTGCTAGTGGTGGAGATGGCTCAGGGATTTGTTCTAATATCTCAGCAATGTCCATAATTTCTGGAAACTGGGTAGAACACTTGGTCAGGGCATCCTGAAAAAAATGCAGCAAAGTCATAGGAAATCCTAACTCAAACTTAGCCAGTGAACCTACTATAGGGAGACAGCAAAGCCCATTCAGGATGTCAAAACATAGCCTCTAACCTTAAATATCTGACTCCCATTTTTCAAGCTCCTTAACTTCACCAAACTTGGCATTGTTTACAAGCCAGCCAGCTTTTGGGACCACCCTTTTCAGAGTTCTCCATAAATGGCAGAAATACTGGATGAAAGGAACAGGTTTTTCCACCATTTCTGCTAGGATAAGCAACTTCCTCCCTCCACCCCCAACAAGCTATGGATCTATCCTTTCTCTTATTTATGGAAAAGGGAAATCTTTATCCTGTTCTTTGCAACAGCTTTCCTCAATTTAGTTCCCTTCAGATGTGCTAGACTGCAATTTCCAATAATCCCAAATATTCTCACATTTGTGAATGATGTAATCTAATGCAAATCTGAAGGTACTGGGGTTACTGATTGATAATTCTTACATAATTAAGAAAAGTTTCCAATTGTGAGAATACATTTGCAAATTCAGTTGTGAGCACATTTTGGGGATGTAGCTATGGATCAGCACTGAAACTCAAAAATAAAAATAAAAAAGACAAGAAACCCAAATATCTTTAGCACAATGTACAGGCATGGTATTCTGCTTTGACCAGCCATTCATAGTAATCCTACACAGAAGATGAATGGAATACAATTTTAAAATGTAAATAAAGTAATGCTTTGGTCAAATGCACAAAGTAGTTGGCCTGGACTTTATGTCCATCCAATGACTACTTAAACAACCTACATCTGCAACCTTTAGTTTAGGGTTTTAGCTTTAGTTCTTTTTAGGGCTATCTAGAAAGAGAAGCAGATGAATTGCCAAGATTTCAGTAGAAGACAATACAGTACTTCCTCTTTGGTACACCCTGCAAATGCCACGTAATTCCTGCAATGTTGTAAAAAATCCAATTGCTTCTTACCGGCACAGTGCTCTCTTCATTCATCTCCACAGCAATCCCACTGTGTTTTGCATCTGGAATTTTCTCCCAACACCACCGAGGCAGGACCTTATGGCATAAACTCAGTAGCCTACAAAACAGAGATGTCAGAGGTTGCTTTGCCCAGGATTCAAATTAGCACTTAAGGCAACCAGTAAAATAACTTAGTTGGCCCATCCACACAGATGTTATGCCTGCATCTTTGCCTTTCATCACTTACCTTCTATATTTAAGCAGCACCATAATGGACCCCATTGTAATCAGGATTACTACAAGTGAGAAAACTATCACAATGCTCTGCCAATGAGAAACTGCAAAAGATTTAAGGACAACACTGTGATTTATTTTGTATCAAATGTATATGTTGTCAATTCCATTCCATCTCAAGGATGCTTACATGCCAAAATTCACAATTTCCATGGTACAAGATAAAAATGTTAATTGTAAAACAACCTCTGAAAAAATATAAACTACTTCAGGAATAATATTAAAATGTCTATTGTAAATAGCTCTAACTTGTCATTCACTCACCATACTCAATCCTTGCTACCCCAATACCATAAGAGTATGAATTACTTTTAATTTTTTCCCGCAAGGAGATGTGAGCAATCTTAACTCTAATGGGACAAAGTAAAAGGAGTACACTTCAAAAACTTTGCCTCAGTTCCTGCAGTGACAATGATCCATTAAAAGTATGCAGTCACACTTGCGAATGATGAGAATTGTAATCTAATGCAAATCTGGAGGTGCAATGGTATGATCCATCCCAGAAGTATGCAGACACAGGTAGTCCTCATTTAACAACAATAATTGGGCCTGGAATTCTATCACAAAGTGATGCAATCATAAAGCACGATGTCATGAGATTGCATCACTTAGCTACACAATCCCAGCACCCTCCATTGTCATCATTAAGCAAAGACCTTACATGACTGCAATGTGGAAAGAATCCAGAACTATTTGCTTATACCGCTGAAATCACATCCCAAGGAAGCAGGTGAAAGATACAGGTGAGTGGATTGGCACTGTAAAATATGGGCAGGTGGGTGCTGCGGCTAAGTGCTATGGAATATAGGCAGATGGGTGCTCTGGAGTATGGATTGTGGACAATATAGAGTATAGTGTTCAGGTGTCATGGGCAAGTGTGTGCTGTGGGTGAACATTGTAGAGTACAAGTGGGTGGGCTGTATAGAGTATGGGCAGGCACTACAGAGTATGAGTGAGCATAGGTGGGTGGGTGCTGCAGGTGGGCACTATGGAGTATAGGCAAGTGGGTGCTGTGGATGAGCACTATGAAATATGGGTGGGTGGTGCTACAGAGTATGAGATCCCTATGCCACCTGGGGGTTCTTGGGGAGAAAAAAATGGCAGGAGCCAGAGCAACTTGCAGGAGCAACTTGCAACCTCCTACTGGCTTCCCCATTGATTTTGCTTGTGGGAAGATGGCAATAACATGGTCACAGGACACTGCAAACAATGTAATTGTGAGCCAATTGATGAGCATCCAAATCATGATCATGTGATCACGGGGATACTATGATGGCTGCAACTTTGAGAACTGGTTCTAAGTTCCCCATATTCACCATAACTGCATGGTCGCTGAATGAGTGGTTATTAAGTGTGGACTTCCTGTACCCAAAACTCTTTACAGGTAGTTCTCAACTTATGACAGCAATTGGGACTGGAATTTCCATCACTATGTGATGTGGTCATAAGCATAAAGTGGTCATAAATCACTTAGTGACAGCAATCCCTGCAGTCCCAGTTGCCATTGTTAAGCAAATCCCACAGTCATTAGGCAACATAACTTCCTGCCACCTTCCCAGAACTAAAGTCAGTGGGGAATCCAGCAGGTTGCAAGTCCAAGGCCAAGAGGCTGCTGCCAGGTATGTGTGTGGGGGGAAGCAAGGCAGTGTGCAAGGGTGTGGGGGAGGGTCAAGGAAGGTACACAAGGATATGAGGGTTGAGGAGGGTGCACAAGGATGTGAGGGGATGGATGCCTATGAGGTGAGGATGTGCAAGGGTGCAACGAGGTCGAGGAGAGTGAGTGAGGGTATGAGGGAACGAGCGTGACATGTGCATAAATGGAGGATAAATGAGGGTGTGTCATGATTAGGGAGGTAAGAGGGAGTGGTATAGGTTAAGTACACCGGAGTGCCGCAGAAGTTGGGGAAGGTGTACTAGAGCACAGAGAGGTGCACAAGTGGCTGGTACAGTGCAAGCACAAGAGAGGTGGTGGAGGGTGGAGGAGACTTACCTCAGTGACTTGTGAACCTCCCTGCCGGCTTCCCCACTGACTTTCTGGGGAAGCCGGCAGGAAAAGTTGCATATAGTGAACATGTGATCACAGGGTGCTGCAATTATTCGTAAGTGTGAACTGTTTGCCAAATACCCAAATTGTGATCATATGACCACACAAATGCTGGGACGGCTGGAACAACAAGGAGCAAGCCCAGTGCCCTCATAACTTTGAATAGTCACTAAACAAGTAGTTGTAGTTTGAGGACCTGTAAATAATAGCCAGAAGGTATCAAAATCCTTAGAGCAGTTTTTGTGCTAAAGTGATTGATTTCACAGCTAATTTTATCATGATCTTTCTTGCTCCTATAGTTAGCATAATATCTCCTGTTAATATACCAGTTTGGTTTAAGGAACAAAGCTTCTTGCAGTCCCTCCTACCTGAGGTACTGAAGTGATGCACAGCACTGGCTGCACCCTCTCCAGCCGATGTAGAGCCAGTCATCCAGACCTGGTAGGTTGTTCCTGGCTCCAGATCTGAGACAGTGTAATTTCTTTCCGTAGCACTAACTGTAATGTAAAAAAGAAACAAAACCAAAAAAAATCTATCCTAGGCAGATGGTAGTCAGGACCCATCGTCCAGAATTCACTGGTGGAGGATAACCATGTCTAGCTTAACTAGCAGTTTTACACCAGACAAGAAAAGAATACATTCCGTTTACACTTTACACTTCCGGGTACGCTTTAAGGTGTTAGTTACCACCTTTAAAGCGCTCCATGGCATAGGACCTGGATACCTCCGAGACCGCCTTCTGCCACAGATTCCCTCCCACAGACCGGTACGCTCCCACAGAGCGGGCCTCCTCAGGGTGCCGTCGGCCAAGCAATGTCGGCTGGCGACCCCCAGGGGGAGGGCCTTCTCTGTGGGTNTGACCTAGGGTGAATTTTAAATAGGGATAATTTTTAATGATTTTAATAATGTCACAGCTACAAATATTCGGTTTTAATTGGCTTTTATAGGGGAAATGTTGTGTGTGTTGTTTGTATTGTGTTATTTTAATATGCTGTGAGCCGCCCTGAGTCCCGTGGGGAGAAGGGCGGCATATAAATTATGAAAAATAAATAAAAATAAAAAAAATACAGACAGAAAAAGGAATCCCACATATTTTTTACAAAGAGATGTCTTGGCTTTTGGAAAAGAATGCCTTACAATGCACATTTAATATAAGGCATAAGGAGATCAAGATCTCTGCATTCTTCTCCCCCACAAATATGTGTTGACTGTTACTGTTTTCTTAGGTTGCCACACATTGAAATGTACAGGTAGCCCTCAACATAGGATGGCAATTGAGACTGGAATTTCCATCACTAAGCAATGCAGTCATAAAGGCAACCACATCAGTTAGGGACAGCAATCCCTGCAGACCTGGCTGCTGTTGTTAACTGAATCCCATGGTGGTTAGGCGAGGCAACTTCCTGCAAGCTTCCCACAACCAAGTCAGTGGGGAAGTCAGAAGGAAGTTGCAAGGCCCGGATGATTTACCAGTAGGCAGGCAGGCAGGTAAGTTAATTTTAATGTTAGGTTTTACATTTTTTTTATCAATTATAATATGTTGTACACTGTGCCCAGAGATGCTCTTTGAGGAAGATGAACAGTTTAAAAATATGAAATATAAATATAAGTAGATGCTGCAGGGCAGAGAGAAGTGCAAGGGTGTGTATAAAAGTGCAAAGGAGGTGTGGCAAGGCTCAGGGAGGATGTGTGGGGGGAGGTATGCCAGAATGCAAGAGGGGAACGGAAAGAGTTGGGGAAGATGTACAAGGGCAGGAAGAGGATAGGGCGAGGGTGTGTGAGAGTGGCCTGGTGAGGGTTAGGGAGGAGCACAAGGTGTGCAGGAGTGTGAGGGAGGCACGGCAAGAGCCAGGGAGGATGTGCAAGGATGAATGAAGGTGTAAAAAAGGCACAGCAAGGATCGAGGAGGGTGTGCAGGATTGGCTGGTGTGGCACAAGGACAGAAGGGTTAGAACAGAGTGTGCAGATGGGGGAGACTTATCCCAGTGACTTGCAACCTTCCCTGCTGGTTCCCCATTGACTTTCTGGAGAAGCCATTAGGGAAGGTCGCAAGTAGTGATCCTGTGATAGTGGTATGCTTCAACTGCAACAGCAACTAAGTATGAGCCTGTAGGCAAATACCCAGATCATAATCATGTGGCTGCAGGTTGCTGGGGTAGCAGGAACTCCAAGGACCAGTCATAACCACCATTTGTTTGAAAGACTGCTGAACAAATAGTTGTAAATTGAGGATTACCTGTATGGATTGTATCAACTGGAAATCTGTTTGTAATTTTGGGGGTCTAATGAAGGGATTTGGGTTTGTTTTCCACATAAAAGATGTGCTGCAGAGCTAAAAACCACTCCTTCTCATACCTTTCTATACTCTCCCATATAAGGGGATTTTGCTCCTAGGTTTCCAGATATATTTTAGGCTGCAAAGGAAGAGCCAAACAAGGAGGAATCCATATCCAAACATATCCAGCCGCATGTGCTTTTTACTTAAAGAACCAGACTCCACCCCCTCCTTTGTTATATAAAGAGAGTAGATAAATATGGTTTCTCTTGTTATGACTATTTGTTCCCCAAAAGCTATACAACAAATTTCTGGACCCACAAATCTTCCCTAAGTGAACTTTCCAGAGAAAAGCTATAGAAAAGCTAATGTCAAACTAATGCCCTTGAGAAGTGATGAATTATCTCCATTTAATATGGGACTGAAGGGAATAATCCAATCTGAAGGAAACCAGAGGAGAGAGCTGATGCAGAGTATTGTAATTAAGAGAGGCAATTTTAGGAGGACCCAATGCCTTCCTCCTCAATTATGTTTAGGCTGACTTAGACTTAGAATCTCACTCACTGGGCTTGTGAACCATAAGGCTGTCTGAACGGAGATGTTTCAGGTAAAGTTTATAGTGTATGATATGCCCATTGCGGTCTGCCAAGGGAATCTCCTCCCAAGAGATGGAAGTGGCAGTGGACGAGAGTCTTTTGTCTTGCAGTCCTTGGGGACCAGCTGATGGTACTGGAAAAGCAAAGGAGGAAACAGAGTCTGTGAACTGGTTCAGCAGGTGGGCAAAGCGTACAGTTCATCTCCATGCTGTAACAAGGACACATTCCATAGGCCAACAGATCCAAAGGAGACCATCAATTTATGAACACCAGAGGAAATGTTTCTATGCTAAGAAATGTTCAAAGATCATACATCCAAGGTAGTATTCAAGAAGAAGATGGCCACCATTTAAACATTTATTGTAATTTGTCTCTGGAAACTGACTTACAGTTCTCCCAATATAGTAAAAGTTCTATATAATGGATACAACCTTCTTTTCCAGTATGGCACTCATAAAGCAGCTTCCCTCCAGAAGCTAGGCAAACTCTGGAAGTGATGGCCTTCTGAAAGGAAATGACCAAATTCTTCCAATGATTGTGCAACAGCTGAAACCCCTTAAAGGAGGTAGTCCTTGCTTAATGACCATTTGTTCAGTGACTATTTGAAGTTAGGACAGTGCTGAAAAAGGAGACTTACAATTGGTCCCTGAAGTTCTGGCCATTGTAGTACCCCCCAACAAGGTCATATGATCACGTTCCGGGCACTTGGCAACTGGTTCACTCTTATGAGGTTATAGTGTCTTATAGTAATGTGACCACCATTTGCAACCTTCCCTGCCAGCTTCCCATAGGCAAAATCAATGGAGGTTACCCTGGTAAGCTGTTTGCCAAGCACCCAGAATGCGATCATGAGACTGCGGGAGGGGAAGCAATTGGAATTTTGAAACCAGGTCATAAGAAGCTCTGGGGACCTCTGTTACAAATTTGAATGGTCACTAAGCAATTGGTTATAACTCGAGGACTACCTGAACCAACTGTCTAACCTTAAGTCTCTCAATGCCTAAGTTCTCTATCTTAAATAATTGAAGCCCTATCTCTTTTGTACCTGTGTCAACATTGGTCACACATACAAAGGGGCAGAGCATCAATCACATAGACATGGCTGCCATCTTGACTTTTTTTAATACACCTCCTCTCCCCCGCTTCCAATAACCTTGAGTGGTATTTTCTCTTGGGCAAAAAGAAAAAGAAAACAAAAAAGGTAAGGGAAGAAACCTAAGCAAATCTGTTCTAAGATTGTTACTTACTTAGCTAAAAAAATTTAAAGCAGTATCTTTCTACCACCTCTGCAAAAAACCCGTCATTTTAAGAGAAGGCCTTGTTGATAGGCTGTGGTTTTCTGCCTGCTGTTTCCTGTCCTTTGGAGGTGGGCCTCTGTTATTGTGGCATGGATCTGGTAGAACAACCTGATCTATAGAGTATAAAAGGGCAACGCTTGCATGTTTCCAAGCCCTCTCTAAAAAACATCTTTTTATACTAAGCAGCTGCAGCCATTAACACTCACCAATACTGTTTTTTAAAACAGTTTTTATTTATAGCACTGTTTTCACACTACTGTTGTAAGCTACTTCAGGAAACGCATAATTGAGAAGTGACATATAAATAACAATAAATAGAAGCAGTTTTGGCTTTCCCAACAAACCATAGCTTGTTTTCTATACAGATCAGCAGAACGTTTGAATTCAATTATAAAGTTTATTCTTGGGTGCAAATTTCCTTTGCTGCTGGAGTTAGCTATACTGAATTAGTTAAAGATATAAATATAGTGCCTCATACTAAAGCCTGTTTTTTATTGTAGCAAAGATCATCAATTCTGGCTAAAGAGTGATGCTAATCAACGCCAACCTGAACAGGGCAGAGGTGGCTGTGCTACTTAAAGTTACAAGAATGTAGGGAGGAAAATTCATTTGAAAGCTCTAAAGATCAAAGAGGAAATTCTGGCTCCACTAGTAAGCCCCCCTCCCTTGCACTCCTGGCAATTACCTTCTTCTTTGAAATAGGCACGTACAGAGTCTGAGGTAGTTCTCCCATGAGCATACAAACCATACACACACACAAGGTATGGTACCTTTGAACTGAAATTGCCTAAAGAGGAAGAAAGAAACAACGTTTAGGAAACTAACGACTTGCTTCTGGAAGTTGTGGGTGCTCCAACACTGGAAGTTTTTAAGAAGAGCTTGGATGATCATTTGTCTGAAATGGTATAGGGTTTCCTGCCTGAGCAGGGGGTTGGAGGACTACAAGACCTTCAAGGTCCCTTCCAACACTGCTATTCTGTTTTTTTATTATTATTATTTGCTGTATGAACCTTAGTGAGTGGCCATTGCCAGCCAGCTTTTCTCTCGGTACAGGCTGACAGCTAAGCATGCCTTCCTTTCAGTACCCAATCCAGCAGAAGACAGCTATTAAACCGTGAAAGGTAAAAGTCACATGGGTCTGCTTTAACTTGCTTCTGCAGGAAATCAAAACAGAACATGGGACTCCAAGAAGTAGTGGAAAACTTTCAGCACCTCTTTTTCCAGAGGACACCCGCTCCCTTTTTTCAACAGACGAAATTCACTCCAGTGTCCCAGAAGGTGCTATGACCCAATTTCCTTCTACTCCGTTTACTTAGCAGAAATGGAGGATCAAACCAGATAAAATTCATGCATTCAAGCAGCACAATTTCATGGTTTTCATTATATAAGATGCAATTTATATGCTTCTGTCAAAATTTGAATAGCCTGGAGAAGATGGGAGATTTAATGCTATAGACCTCTCCCTTTCCCATGACCTTGCATGCTTGTCTGTAGCTGCTGTATCCAAGGAAGGTTCCTCTGGAACAAAAGGAGGCGCCTTTTTTTTTTTTAAATGAAAATAGCGGCTGCAGAGAGATATTTTCAGTCAGTGGTAGTGAAAGAGGCAGACACAAACGCGCACAAAGAGAAAAAGAGTATGTACTACGTTCCCTCCTATTTTGCTGTTTACATAATTAATAACATTACTGCAGGTGAGATTGTCCATCTCACCTCTCAATAGGGCGCTGGTACTGCTTCCAAGTGTGCGAGTCCAGTTCAGCAACTCTCCCGCACTATCAGCAATCTCTTTTCTCCACTCGACCACATATTCCTTAGGCTGAACCCACTGAGAATCCATGCTGGGCTTCCATGTCACGTTGAGACCCAAACCTTCTGATGCCACTACTGTCACCTCCTCAGGGCCTGGGAGCTCTAGGAAAAGGAAAGACAGTTTATCATTATGCAGGACATCGCCCATAATGCTGGCTATCATCCACACAAACAGCCATAAAATAATCCCATTAATTGCAAGCCCTGGATCTGAGCCGATCTCAGAAAGCTAAACATGATTGGATCTGGTTAGTACTTGAGTAGGAATCTATTAGTTGGAAAAAAAAACCTCCAAACTTTAGGAACAGGTCATGGCAAACTACTTAGTTGTCAAGAAAATTGCACAGATTTCCATGTCATCACCAGGCCATCCTTCTCAAGTTGTTCAGTTTGTCTGAGGAACTCACCTGGCCTCTAAAAAAAAAACTACTTGGTTTCACAAAATTTGAACCCTTGATGACCTCATTTACACATCAGTGTGGTTTTCTTGGCAGCAATACGAAAATCATTTCTGCGTAACATTTTGAGAATTTCCACTCTTGCCACAGCCTTAGATTTTCTTCTGATTTCTCATCCAAATATAACCAGGACTTCTTAGTATTTAAGGGTTAGCCCAGGTACACTAGATGTTACGTAGCTGGCAATTTCACCCCTAAACTTAGAGAATCAAAGTAGTTGACTGCCTGATACAAAATACATCAGGATCTTTTCTTAAGGTGGAGTACAGGAAGGGTGACAGGAATGAACATGTTGTGAGTAAAGGGAAAGGAAGCCACCACCTATTTTTCTTCAAGAATCAGATGAGAAAGCCAGAAAGTGAGGCAAGAAAGAACTGTTTCAACCCTGTAGTGTAACATGAAGGTGCACCTGTTTTCTCCAAGCTGAGATTAGCCCAGAGTGTCTTCTTAACAGAATTGCGGGCTGCTATTGAGACATACTGTGCAGCGATAGGGATCAAAGCCTGACAGCAATTGTAATTCATTCTGTAGAGTGTTTTGCTGTGGTCCTGGAAGATAATTTCATAATCAAGGATCTTTCCCCGGGCTGCTTCTGGATCCAGTGCCTGTCAGAAGGGAAGCAGAATTCCTCAGCAGAGTGAAGAAAAAGGTAGGAGGGAGGGAAGGAAGGAAGGAAGGAAGGAAGGAAGGAAGGAAGGAAGGAAGGAAGGAAGGGGAGGAGGAAGGGAAACAGGGCTGAAGTAACCCAATTTGTCACTTGTGCCCTGCTTCTCCTGAACCAGACACACCACAGGTACTGGTCATGAGCAATCCCAGTCAAAACTGGATCAGCAGTAGAGTCTGTGCCATTGACATGAGCAGTACAAAAATTAAAAGATAAAAGATTGCACTCATTTTGGCAAGAAAATGATAGGTTAAGAAAATGTGCACAAGCTGAATTTCTTCCTGTTTTTTTCCAAAAAGCAGGAAGCTGTCAAGTGAAAGACATTTTATCAAGAGGGGCTGAAAAGACCATCCTGAGACGCTTCAATGTTTTTCACTCCAAGGACCAAGCAAGCCAAAAAAAAGGGGGGGGCTTTTTCCACTCTCTACTTCCTCCCTCACCCTAACTACTTGTATCTGTCTCAGGTGAGAACCTACTCTTAGGCCCCAGGGGAGTCCAGCTGCCCAAAGAGGGAGAGGATAAAAAACCAGAAATAACTAGCCAGGCAGGAGCTGTAAAAGAGACCTGATTATTGCTAGTATTACCTAGCACAATGGTGGCTAGTATTACCTAGCACACGTGCCAGAGGCGGCACTTGGAGCCCTCTCTGTGGGCATGCGTGCTGTCGCCCCAGCCCAGCCTCCCTCCATGGCCCCCTCCTCACCAGCAGCCTCCCTGGGGGAGAATCGCCCCCGGGTGCGGCCCACACGGAGCAGCGCAGCCAAGGACATAGCTGGGCAGCAGGGACACGACTCCGCCCTTGTACCCCATAGCATGCAGATGATGCTGCGGGGTGTGGGCAGAGGGCGTGGCTGCCATGGTGCTGCAGGGCTGCCTGGGTGATCTGTTGCAGGCCATGGAGGCAGTGTGTGTCCCTGCGGGTGGGTGGGACAGGGGGCGGGTGGGGGTGGAGCAGCCAGGGTGGGAGGCGGAGGGGGGGCGGGGGCAGGTTTTGGGCACTCGGTCTCTAAAAGGTTCGCCATCACTAACCTAGCAGCTACTTTGAGGGGAAGAAACGAGAGAAGAAACGTATGCACATTAGGGCAATTTGCAGGTCACTACAGAAAATGTTGTAGTTAATAAACACTTTGACTAACTGCCTACCTATATGTGAATTTCTAATCTTTTGTAACTTAATTTTACTGAAAGGGGAAAAAACTGGGGATGAGAGTTATTGCATGCTATTTAAGGCATGTTTTTAATTCACTGACAGTGGAAGAAGACAACAGATGCAGCTGCTTGAGTTACTCTCCATGAAAAAAAAACATTTTCAGAATAGGATCAAGTTGAAGAGTTTTATATTTGAGAGAATTTGAAAGCATTCGGCTCTAGATGAAATGCAAGCCTCATAATATGGAAGTTATCATACATGTTCCAGGACAAGATTGTATTACTGTTATTTCTTGCCTTTACAGTATATTTTACAGAATGTTCAAAGCAACTTGATTGTTAGTAATAACTTTGGGTTTACACTTCTTAAATGAAATCTGGTATCCTAGGATGCACATTTTAGGTTAAATTAGATTCAAGTCTATGGAAAGTGTATTTTGAAAATCACAGCTGCTAAGCTTATTACTGAACCATCATTCTGTTTGTTTTATTAGAATGAATCCTAAGCACATTTATCTTGCTCTTATTTGATAGCTCCTGGCAGTTAATAGATGCCTCACCAGCACATGAAGCACCTCTTTTCATGTATTAAAGTTTAAATAACTACTTCCAAATTTGCAGCAAGGGTATATTCTACCTATGTAAAACAGCTTCAGTTTTTAAGAATACATTAACTATCTAGATAGACTTCCTTTTTTATTTCCAAATCTTTTTTCTTTTCCAAATTTTTTCTTGTATCTCTAATCAAAGTGAGAAAAAGTGTTTCTCTCTCTTCCTTGGCAAATTTGGCTTTAGTCCAGTTACTGATATCATTCTTGTAGAGATTTTGTTTCTTTAAACTATTATACTTTCACCCCTTTGGATCATTCATAGTTTGCCTCAAAATTCTTTTTATGCAGACTCTGATCTGGCCCTAAGAAGACGGACCTGCCCTATGACCCCATGGAGAGGAATGCTATATGATAAGAAACAGGATCTAACTCACCTTCCAGAGCAAGAAATAGCTTTGATTCTGGCGGTCAGAAACACACTCTTTTTGCCACACATCAACTTGACCCAAAGGAGCTAAAGGAATCAGAAAGGAGGCAGGTAATTACTAAGAACAAACAGGATAGCCACACACACCTACAGGTCTTCCCCCAAATAATACAAGTAAGAAACAACTGAAAAAGGAACACTGTGCATAATATGTACGGTTACAAATGAAAAAAAAAATCCTAATAAGGATAAGGACTCAAATAAAAAAAATTCCAATAAGGATAAGGATGCAGACCTGGCTGTTCATAGGCAATGAATATCGACCAAACAGAACCAACACAAAATTAGAATTCTACAGTAGACTCCTCCCAGCCATTCAGTGAATGCTAACACTTTTGATAACACTTGTCCCAAAATTATGTATTTTAATTGCACCTCTATTTGTCTCAAAATGCATTGTGTGAATGCAGCAAACAAGTGTTTGAAAAAGTATACATCAACCAGATTTCTGCTAAGGTGCTACTGTATTCACTTTGATTGCATGAATTTCTGCTTCATCCACAGCTGTACCTACCAGCCTCACAGGTACAGAAGGGTTTGGAAGAACTCCATTCGCTCCAAAAGTCTTTTTTATTTTCTGGGATGCACCGTACCTGCACCTCATAGCAGGTGAATGGTTTCAGGTCATAGAATTCATGGTTTTCTTGGTCTAGATGGGCCTCCTGCAGCTGGGAATGGAACATACTCATATTGTTGTTGTTATATTAACATTCTATCCATCCATTTTGCAAGGTCACTCAAAGGGATTCAAGTTGAAACAAAAATTTCAAAAACCCTCCATCTAAATTTCCACTAGAATTGCAGCAAGTCTAATATTACATCGCAAGAAAAGAATAGAATGCTGGATGCAGATCCATATCATGTTTACTATTAGGACCTAAAGTAATATATAACAGCTAAAGCAAGGATTTGGGAATGGCCTCCAGGAAACTGCCTTCGGTTGGTTAACGGGGAAATCCTAGACAAAGCCAGCTGTAGTTCAATGGAATGGACCTTCAGCAGAGAGAAACAATTCATACGATGGGAAAAAATGCAATACATACACAAAACAGGTCACAAATGCAAGATAGACTCACATAGGTCCATTCATGGTCTGTGGATATCTTGTATCGAATAGCATAAGTGAGAGGTTGGTCACTATGCAATTCAGACCAGTGAGGGTTTTTCCATGTCACTATGGCTTCAGAGCAATCCTGTTCCACGTGATCCAATTCAGGAGGACAAGGCTTCACTGAAACATGAGGGAAGAGTTTAATCATATATCGTATCACTCACTGTTACTCCTAACTGTCACACCTAGTGATAAAAGCATTGATCTAGACACAGACATTGCTCTAAGCCAAAATATGGATGGTTTATTTTTAACTAAGCAGTGTGTGAAACTATGGACGGATTAGTGATGTGTGTAGGGCTGTTTTGGCATATTCAACAAACCTTGATTAGAAAATCTTGGCTTCGCACAATACATAAGACTCTCTCATCCTGTCAATGGTTTATTGAATAAGCCACAACTGACTGGGTTTTCATATTATCCTAAATCATAAGCAAGCCAAGCATGTCACAGCTTTTCAAAATGTGTGAATTTAGTCAAGATATCTTTACTCTAAAGGTATCTGACCTACTGTAAATCCAATCCTTCTTATACTTGGGACCCAGTCTTAAGTTTCCAGAGTCATACAGAAGTCTGCTATCTGAAATGCCCCATGCAATTCCTCAGGAGGTGGAAAATTCAGAATGTTAGCCTATAGACCAGTGGTGGCGAACCTATGGCACGGGTGCCAGAGGCGGCACTCAGAGCCTTCTCTGTGGGCACGTGCAACGTCGCCCCAGTCCTAGGCCTTCAGCTGGGTTTTATAAAACCTTTTCACTTTAGGCCTCCACCGCTGTGTGCAAAAAAAAAAAAAAAGGTTCAATCAGTCAATTTCAACTTCTCGCGGGGAAAAAAAGATCTTGCAAAGTTGGAATTGATTGAACTTTTTAGTCCCACCCAGTCTGCCGTTACCACCGCAGCCACACCCAGCCAATGGGCCACACCCAGCCAATGGGCCACACCCACCCGGCACTTGAGGATGCATAAGTGGGTTTTGGGTTGCAGTTTGGGCACTCAGTCTCTAAAAGGTTCGCCATCACTGCTATAGACCCAACTGGCTGCTGTGAGAGGACTATAGAGATGAGCATGAGCATCAGAGTCAATACAAACAAGGAGAGTGACAAAAGCCAAAAGGGGCCAACACTTGGCCTGCACAAGTAGGCAAGAAAGGCAAGGCACTTTTTTGAAGCAAAAAGTGATTGTTGTTTGCCCAGATTCATTCTCAGAGCATTCTGGCTCTCTAATTTAGTTTCTCTAACCTATTTCATCCAGGCTGAAGGTTAATTCCTTGAAGACAGCAATCCCGGCTGCACTGTGAACTTCCATCCAGACACTGTATTTGTCTCCAAGTGTCAGTTTCCTTCGTTCAATAAGCAGCCAGTTCTGTCCCGTCTGGGCTATCACTAAGTGCACTTGGCCAAGATGTCTTCAGAAAAACAAGGATTTACAGATATATCTAACAATAGTTTATATAAATGGAAACTAAACATTTGCTATTTCCTATCAATCCAGCTATCCTGCCCAAGCAGGCATCTTTCAAGAGTTGCAAATAAAGGCACAGACGCATAGGTACCCACAAAACTGTTTGTCTAGTCCCCTTTAAGCCCTTTTTTAAATGATTCTTCTTGACTTCCAACTGTCTCTGCCTTTTAATCTTTGCAAAACTGAAGACTTTGCCTGGTGGCAGCAATTACAAAAGAGATTCTACATAGAACTTTTAATTTTTAAAGAAAAAAAAGCCTAAGCCAGCTAAATGTTAAAAACAAGTCATTTAAAGCAGTCATAATTTAGAAATGATTCTTCTTTCTTTCCTGTGCACTAAACATCTATAAAAAGTTTAAACTCTATAGTCAAGGTTCTTACATTCTCTGGGCTTTAATGAAAAGACTTCTGACACTTGCTGTTTATGATGGTAGCTCCTATGTGCTTTTCTGAAAATCTCTCTCAGAGCTCCCAATCCACTCAGTTCAACTGACAGAGAGAACTCTTCCATTATTTTCCTTAATATTCTACACTTTTCTAATATTGGCCCATTTGGCTAAAACCTTCATTCATGAAATTATAAAATCCTAATAGGTTATTCCTTTATTCTCTGTAATTCCCTATACCTCCTAAATAAAGTCATTTAGCCAATAGATTACACTGGCCAACACAAGAGGTCCTAGTTGAAAAAGGCAATGATTTATTAATTTGGATATTTGTACTATAAGTCAATATAAGGGCTCACTAACGGCAGCATTTTGCCAAATTTTATGCTCTGGTAGTGAAGGATATAGGTGGCGTTAGCATTTTGAGATTCCCAGGTCAACCAGCTGCAGTTCACAAAGTTGCTGAAAAATGGTTGGAAGCACTGCAGGCCCATAGTGGCATCTGGGTCACCTACAAAAAAAATAAATCACAAATCAGCATTCCAAATTACTGCAGTTGAAGACACATTTCATGGGAAGGGATTATAGCTACATGGAAGTTAGGATCTTCCTAACTCCTATCTTTGTGTTAGGACAGCAACTTGAAAAATCCCCAGAGAGAATCCTATAATCCTAACGGAGCTAGAAGAAAGACTTGGGAGAAGAGATCCCAGAAGAGGATGCAATAGGTTGGAAACAGTGTGGAGTTCAATCCTGACCTGCCACTGCTTCAACAGTTGCTTGCCCTAGTAATCATTATACCAATTAGCCACCAGCAACTGAGGGCCAATGGAAAGATGTCTCTAGGAATCTCCTTAGAGACACTCCAACAGCAGCAAATAAAACAGTTCAACACTATTTATAATCAAAGCCATAAGAAAAAAAAATCCAGCATGCCTATAATAAAAAACGTAGGAAGAGCAAGTACCATCCCTATTCTCCTTTGAGAATAAATGGCTAAGTAGACCTGCTGTTAGAACAAGCTGGCATTTTGGGCTACCCCAGAAAATAAATTGTGCATACAGGCTGAGAAAGCTGAAGACCTGATTGAATTAAGGCTGCTCTCACCTGATAATAAGTTTCCACTGCTGTAGCAAGAGTGCACAAACCTGTGCTGTATACAACTATAGCAGTGATGGCGAACCTTTTAGAGACCGAGTGCTCAAAAACTGGCCCCGCCCCGCTCCATCCCCCTGCCCCGCCCCCGCTCTGCCCCCCCCATCCCCTGCCCCGCCTACCCACAGGACCACTCACTGCCTCCAGGGCCCACCGCAGATCGCCCAGGCAGCCCAGCAGCGCTTTGGCAGCCACACCCACTGCATGATGGGGTGTGAGGGCAGAGTCTTGCCTACCCTGCCTGGCTCCCATGTCCTTGGCTGCGCTGCTCCGTGTGGGCTACACTCAGGGGCGACTCTCCTTCAGGGGGGCTCCTGGAGAGGAGGGGGTCGCGGGGGGAAGAAAGGCTGGGGCAACGGCACATGTGCCCACAGAGAGGGCTCCGGGTGCTGCCTCTGGCACCCGTGCCATAGGTTTGCCATCACTGATCTATAGAGTGATCCAGAGATAATGAATCTACATGGATTGAATGTTCTAAATACAACTGAGTTGCATTTGAATCTGATGGGATCTTATAATGAGCAATAGAACTAAATGGTCCCAAATTGTTGAGAGTCCCTGTTACAGTTTATCTGTTTTGTTACATAGAAATATCAATTTTAAACTTAATGAATGTTCATGTGTGCTATTTGTCATCCAACTACTAGGATTATGATTACTGCCATTCAAAATAGATGCAGGAATTACACAGTCAAGAACTGCAAATGAGATTGATTATGGTAACAAACAGTAGAAGAAGCTCATCATATGCAAACTACCATCACAGGAAGATATTAAGGTATTAAATGTTTAAGGCTATATGCCACATTTACTATCAGGAAGGGAATTGCTGCAGCATATCACAAAGGATGGGACAAGAATGTGTATTCCTTTTTTTTTTTAAGAATAGCATTAAGCCTACTTAGAGTTTGCACAACACTAAATGTAATGCAAATATGTCCTTTACCTTCAAATTCTAAAAAATTATGACATTTTGCTACCAATTTTTAGTTGTCAGAAGGAGGGGGCCTCTGGAGGCCAAGGTTGGCCATTATTGTTCAATCCCTTTCATGGTATTATTGAAAATGAAAAATAAGGTGTTTATTTGAAGAACATTTAAAACAAGTTCAGCTCAAACTGACGTCTGGGATTAATACAATTAGAACATACACTTTGCTAATTCCTGCTGTCTCTACTTTTTTCCCCAACTGTCAACAGACCAAATTTCCTTTTCCCTACTTTCATCCCTAAGACATAATTCTTTATTCTCCAGGTTATCTTTTCCAGCTATTCCAAACATAAGCCCCCAATATAGTTTTGCCATCACTCAATCAGCAAGCAAGATAAAGGTCAATGTGTTGAAAATGTTTCGCCTGCTTCACTTCTTCTACTTTGGAGGCCTGTTTGGGGCTCTTGACAGATTTCCTGTGTGGGTTTTAAAGAGCAGGGGGCAAGAAGGTGACAGTAGCAGCAGCAGCCATCACTAAGTGCAAGTCTAAACACATTTGACAGTCCTCCTTGTTGTCTTGAAGTTATGCAAACGTATCTGGCCTGCCTGCCTCTCCTTAGCAAACAGAGATCTGAAGATATATGGTAGGTCCACAGATCTATCAAGATCCCTAATCACAAGTAACTGAATACATATTCTCTTACATTGGAGCCCTAAATGGCTGCCATCTCAGATCCCTTTAAACTGGATCCACAACTTACAACAAATCTGAGACATGGTACCTAAATTAAAGAAATCTGAAATGGGATATGGCTTTTAAACCCTCAGTTAAAGAGAGGCATAGAAAAGTTAAAAATGGGTCAGCTCACACGTTCATTAACTGGAATTGACATCCAAGCAAACTGGCTTTCTCTCAAGAGCACAGATGAAGTTTTTAGGAAACAGATCTATTGAAGCAAAGCAATAATATTTCTCCTTTACCTTTTTTCAGCCCAGAGACCTTGAAGGCTAGGAGTAGCAACCCTACAACATCCCATCTGCTTCTCATGATGCTAACTCAAGTAGTGATATGATGGAGGAGCACCTGGAGAAATGCTCAGCCTCTGTAACATTAAAAGAAAATTATTCCATCTTCAAGTTATTAACAGAGCAGAAAATAAAACATTTTCAAACTCAAAGAGTTTGAGGATTGAGTAAAGGTTGAGAAGGTAAGTTGGGAAGGAAGCAAGGATTGGAAAACTGTTGTGTCACTTATTGTTGGCAATATGCTACAAGGACCGAATAACCATATTGCTCAAAAGATAAGCCATAGCAATGGATGAAGGGGGAAATAAAAACTGTTCCCTAAAATTTCACATATGCTGGGTATGTTTTATGGCTCACCATTTTATCCAGTCTACTGCAATTTGAATAAAGTACAATAGACTAAGTTCTTATATTAGGTTGGTTTACAAATCCTAATAGCATAGTTTGTGATTCCAACTAAGTTGAATCAAAGCAAATAATGTGAAGTATTAACCCAACACACTGTGGATTATCAGCAAAATACAGGGAAAGCAGCTGTGGATTAGTTAGTTATACATGGAGTAGATACATAAAATTTCCCCAGGTCATTTCTCTGACAGTGATTATGTTTGGACACCATAGTATCTGCCTTATTCACATACTAGCTGTACCCGGCCACGCGTTGCTGTGGCTCAGTCTGGTTAAATGGAAAAGAAAGAAAAGAGAAAGCGCACGTTTGTAATATGTTTAATTTCACAATGCTTGTAAAAGAAAAAAATAAACTATACTCACGAAATGAACGCTATGGTAAATGACACAGCTCAATTCCAACGCAATGTCACACGAAATAATTAAATCAAAATGAAAATAAATCGAAATCTATGAAAATTCAATTTAACAATGCAATTGGAAACATTGAAATGGAATTGTAAAATCGTAGCATGTGTTGCTTTTATGTCCAACAGATGGCGCTGTTTTTCAAAAAAGCATGTTTTACCTGTCACAGGTGTGACATCTATATAATAGTAGGTATATACAAACACGCGCGTATTCAAATGCAACGTTGTATCAAAATTTCAAAGCAATCGGTGAAGAACTTTCGGAGATTTAAGATTTTGAACAAACGAACATTTACATTTTTATTTATATAGATTAAATGTAGTTCTTTTCACCATATTATGTAAGCTAGTCATTTTAAAACTGATTTATAATTTAGCATGTTGCATGAAGCACTTCATGGAGTTTTTGCAATGCTACTCGCATACAGACATGTTTAATCAATTTAGAAACTACCCAACTTCTAACCCTACACTGAAAATGTAATGAAAAGAGTTCATAAGCAGTCCAAAGACACATAAGCAAACAAAACAAAACCCCTATTCAATAGGGGCTCAACCATCAATCTGCCCCATAGCCTGGGAGAACAGATAGGTCTTCAGTAGCTTCCTGAATGTCATAGGATGGGAACATAATCTAGATCTGGATTTGGAGAAACTGGTTGATAGGATGTATTCCTTATGTACGATGTGCCTAAGATCACATGGTAACTTACAATGCTAATAAAAAAAACAGGAGAAAGAGTGCCAGGAATCTGTTTCGGGATGGGACGTGGACTTTTCCAGGACCAAATCAGACTGACTGAGGATCTCTTCTAGCAGACAGGTAAGACAGACAATTGACGGATGTGACAACTGCGGATCTATTGTCTTCCGAAGGAATCGGGTAGCGCGACCTTCCCTATTGCCTGTGCTGTATACCGGTATTCGAAGCAGCCCCTACAGATATCCTGAGGCAGCGCCACAATTCTCGGTTCATCTGGCTCCACTGTTTCATGCTAACTGCTAATCTCTATAAATGCCTTCCAGCTACAAAAATCAACGTCCCGACCTGAGATCGAATACGGAGGGGAGGTCCCACAATGACCCTCCCCACCCCCACCCTTGTCATCACACCATTCCGTGTGTGACAATATTGGGAATTCATAGAGGTTTCTGGGACCAGATAAGTCGCCTGTTTAAATTGCTCTTCGGCTCCCACTTGAACTAAGTAACTCCAAACAGTCCCTTTCCACTTTATATGAGCCATTCATCGGAAGCTAATTTTAATCGGAAAAGACTCGCAGAAGGAAAGTTCCCAATTGCTTGAGAAGATCCGAGGAAAGCATGCAGAAAATCCCAAGCAATTTTTCCTCGAAAGGAGAAGGAGCTTTCCCCCTTAGCTCACTTACCACCATCAGCTGCCAGCGCTCCCCATCTCGAATGTTTCCCAGCACCGCAAAGAAAAGACTGTCGCGAGTTGACTCAACGCTTCCCGGACGGCGCCGCGCCAGGCGCGTGAAGCTACCCTGGTCCCTCCAGGGCCCCGAACGCCGCGCGCCGCGCTTGCTCCGCCCTCGGCCCAGCCGCTGTGGAGGGGAGGAGGGTAGAGGGGCGCCCGCTGCTCGCAGATTATTTCCATTTCCTCTTCTGATGCAGACCGTGTTTATCACAAAGGGTTGAGACGAAAGAGGAAGNTAAAAAAGATGTTGAGACTCTAGAAAGAGTACAGAGAAGAGCAACAAAGATGATTAGGGGACTGGAGGCCAAAGCATATAAGGAAAGGCTGCTGGAATTGGGTATGTCTAGTTTAATGAAGAGAAGGACGAGGGGGGACATGATAGCAGTGTTCCAATATCTCAGGGGCTGCCACAAAGAAGAGGGAGTCAAGCTATTCTCCAAGGCGCCTGAAGGCAGGACAAGAAGCAACGGATGGAAACTAGTCAAGGAGAGAAGCAACCTAGAACTAAGGAGAAACTTCCTGACAGTGAGAACAATTAACCAGTGGAACAACCTGCCTCCAGAAGCGGTGAATGCTCCAACACTGGAAGTTTTTAAGAAGAGACTGGACAGCCATTTGTCTGAAATGGTATAGGGTTTCCTACCTGAGCAGGGGGTTGAACTAGATGATCTTCAAGGTCCCTTCCAACTTTTTTATTATTATTATTATTATTATTATTATTATTATTATTATTATTATTGTTGGAAGGGATCTTGGAGGTCATGGAGTCCAACCCCCTGCTCAGGCAGGAAACCTTATACCATTTCAGACAAATGGCTGTCCAGTCTCTTTTTAAAAACTTCCAGTGCTGGAGCATTCACAGCTTCTGGAAGCAGGTTGTTCCACTGGTTAATTGTTCTCACTGTCAGGAAATTTCTCCTTATTTCTAGGTTGCTTCTCTCTTTGGTTAGTTTCCATCCATTGCTTCTTGTCCTGCTTTCAGGTGCTTTGAAGAATAGCTTGACTCCCCCTTCTTTGTGGCAGCCCCTGAGATATTGGAACACTGCTATCATGTCCCCCCTTGTCCTTCTCTTCATTAAACTAGACATACCCAATTCCAGCAACCGTTCCTGATACGTTTTAGCCTCCAGTCCCCTAATCATCTTTGTTGCTCTTCTCTGTACTCTTTCTAGAGTCTCAACATCTTTTTTACATCGTGGTGACCAAAACTGGATGCAGTATTCCAAGTGTGGCTTTACCAAGGCATTGTAAAGTGGTATTAACACTTCACATCGCTGTCCTGCTGGAGGCCACAGGACAGATAGAATAGAGCTGGAAGGGACCTTGGAGGTCTTCTAGTCCAGCCTCCCGCTCAAGCAGGAGAACCTATACCATCTCAGACAAGTGACTGTCCAGCCTCTTCTTAAAAACCTCCAGTGATGGAGCGCCCACGTTTTTTGAGGGCAAGCTGGTTAATTGTCCTCACTGTTAGGAAGTTTCTCCTTAATTCCAGGTTGCTTCTCTCTTTGGTCAGTTTCCAACCATTGTTTGTTGTCCTGCCCTCTGGTACTTTGGAGAATAGTTTGACGCCTTCTTTGTGGCAGCCCCTCAGATACTGGAATACTGCTACCATGTCATCCCTGTTTCTTCTTTTCTTTAGATTCGCCAAACCCAAGTCCTGCAGCCATTCTTCATATGTTTTAGTCTCCAGGCCTTTGATCATCTTAGTTGCTCTTCTCTGAACTTTTTCCAAAGTCTCAACATCTTTTTTGTAGCATGGTGACCAAAATTGGCTGCAGTATTCCAGGTGTGGTCTTACTAGGGTTTTATAAAGCGGTACTAATATTTTGCGTGATCTTGATTCTATGCCTCTGTTTATAGAACCCAGGATTGTATTAGCTTTTTTGACTGCTACTGCACATTGCTGGCTCATAATCAAGTGATCGTTCACTAGGACTCCAAGGTCCCTCTCACAGTTACTGTTTTTGAGCCATGTCTGCCTAATCTGTACTTATACCTTTGATTTTTCCTGCCTAAATGTGAAATCTCACTTTTCTCCACATTAAAATTCATTTTGTTGGATAGGGCCCATTGATGTAAGAAATAAACGGCCTGCCCTGTGTTTGCTGGATTTAATGCTCTGGACTTGATATCCCAATAGGGGTGAGGGATGTATTTATGTCCATTAGCTGCAATTAAATCAATTCCTCCCAATATTTGGATGCATCAAAAAGGATTTTGTATAGGAGCGCATCTGCTGCATTTATGCACGAGTTAATGTCTTTGCTTATTTTTCTCTACCTGGTTGCAAGAATGAATTGGGTCTTCCATTTTTAATTGAAAAAAATTGTTATTGGAAGCGTAGCTTCTATTTGAGTCAGGTTTTTTATAACATGCTAAACTAAAAAGCTAGATTTATAAACATATACCATTCCCAGGTCTAATGACACACAATTCATTATCTGTTAGCTTTAGTTGTTAGTTCTCTAGCTTTCCCACACACACACACAAAGTTTGGTATACATGAATTGAATCATAGAAGCATAAGACTGGGAGGGACCTTAAAGGTATTCTGGTCACAACCCCCTGCCCAGGGCAGGTGACCTAATACCGTCCTGAACAAAAATGATTGTCTAATCTCTTCTTGAAAACCTCCACCAATGGAGCACCCACAGCTCCCAGAAGCAAGTTCTGCCATTAATTAATTATTCTGTCAGGAAATTCCTCTATATTTCCAGGTAGGATCACCCTCTGATGAACTTTGGCCCATTGCTTCTTGTCCTATTTTGGAAAATAAATAGACCTCTTCTTTGTGATAGTCCTTCAAGTACTGGAAGACAGTTATATCCCACCTAATTCTTCTCTTTGTTATACCTAATTCCCTTAACTGCTCATCCTATGATTTGGCCTCCAGACCCCTTATCATCTCTGTTGCTCTTCTCTGCACTCTTTCTAGGATGTCAGTATTTTTTCTGTATTGTGGTAACCAGAATTGAACACAGTATTCCAAGTGTGACCTCACTAGTGCAGTATAAAGCAGTACTGTCACTTCTCATGGTCATGATGTTTCTGTTGATGCAGCTTAGGATTGCATTGTCTTTTTTGGCAGCCTCAGCACTTAAGTGGTGGTCTACCAGGACACCTAGATCCCTCTCATAATTACTGCTGTTGAGCCAGATACTGCCTATTCTATAATGTGCATTTGGTTTTGTATGCCTAAGTACAGGTTCTTACTTTTCTCACCACTGAACTACATTGCATTGGATAGGGTCCAATGCTCAAGTTTGTCAGGACCCTGCTGAATCTTGAATCTATCTTGCTAAATGTTAGCAATTCCCCCCAGCTTGGTGCTGTCTGCAAATTTGATGAGTTCCTCTTCTATCCCCCTCATCTAGATCGTTTATGAAGTTGTTGAAGAGTACTGGGCCTAAGACAGAACCTTGAGGTACTTCACTGCATTCTTCCCTCCACATATAATAAAGACTACACACTGAGTGTGGTTGGTCAGCTAACTGTGAATCCATCCGGTGGTGGTACTGTCTATCCCACATGATTCTATCTTCCCAAGAAATAGGCTGTGATCTACTTTGTCAAATGCCTTACTGAAGTCCAAATATACTACATCCACTGCATTTCCCTGGTCTGCTAATTTAGTCACTTTATCAAAGAAGGTAATAAGGCTTGTCTGGCATTGGCATTGGTCTGATAGTTTTGAACTAGCTGTTTGATTTGTGGCCATGATTACACTTTATGACAGTGAACACTGTAAATAGCTAATATTCGCCTGGCACTTAATATGTATGCCAGAGAATGAGTGTGGGTGACTGTGGTTAGCATATGTCTTTGTTCAGCCTTTTTGCGTTAAATTATTTTGGGAGAAAACCATCAAGGAATCACTGAGCTGTAAAAAATAAAATCCCAGAAGAAAACAACCCAAGCAACACAGAATGTACTTTCATTTGGAAGCCCATTGATCCTGCTATTTTATACCCTCTGTTAACTTTGAAGTAAGTAAAAAGGCTTTGTGAGCCCATGGCTAGCAGGCTTTTGTTTTGCTTTTGTGAAATTTAAATATTAAAGTTAGGGGCAAAATAGAGGAGGGATTCCTGTGTACAGAATTTGAGGTCTTGCAGATATAAATAATATAAATTTATATATAAGTTTATTGGGTATATTTAATATCAATTGTCACAATAAGGGGTGCGTATATATATATATGTTAAATGTTACACATGTATAATACAAAGTGGGGCATGGGGTGTAAGGCAAAGATTAGGAATGGAAAAGTGTTGGGGACAAGAAAGATACCTACGCTTTTAGCTACCTAGCTATATTTTACTGTTGCTTTACAACTATTGATAATCAATAATCAATACTTTTTTTTCATCTGCAGAATCTAAGTAGTTTCAGGTTTGTGCCCATCTGGATTTTCACAGGTGCACAAAAATTTTATACAGGGAAAATGTGAAGTTCTCTCTGGCAATTGGCCATTTCCTTCCCACACTGTGTGCATCCCTTTGATCTGTCGGACCACCACTCTCTTAATTCTCACTAATAATAGCATGAATTGTAGTCTCATATATGTAGATTAATGGGAAAGCTGGCATATACAATTCAGTATACCTTAACTTCTGCCAAGTTGCAGAAGAAAATACAATGTTAATATGATTTGGATTATGTCAGATCGTTCCAGGTAAAATTTTCTCAAAGGTTTGATATTGTGGCAGATTGTTCCAGGTAAAATTGCACACAACCACTCTGAGAAATGTCACTGGCTTCTCCCTAAACGTTTCTAGCTTTTCTCAACATTTTTTAGGCAGTTTCCATGAGGATAAATTTGTCCAGCTGCTTCGAAATCTTAGGCAAACATCTTGTAGTGTTTATAATTTGAGAATTACTGATGTTATCAAAATAAAACAAATCTGAGTTGAGTGACCCTATTAAACCAAACTGTTCTGAGTCAACATAGTGCATCTCATTATTTTGTTTCATTTCATTTTTTTTTCTTGTCAGCTTTGTTTTATAGTCATTTGAATCTCAGAGCAGCAGGCTTAGTTCCTCTCTAAGGGGACAAATAAATACACCATGGAAGTGCCACCACCCTGAAAGCTGTTGGTTGTGAGACCAACTTGAATACCAACCCAAGAATGTTTTTATTCATTAAATGTAATGCTGGTCTGTGATCGTAATAAAAATGGATTGATTATTAAATTTGCTTGCTGCCCCTTTCACCATGAGTTGATTTGTAAATTATCAAATGTGGGAGAACGTTTGTGACCCTCAACAACAGTCAGAAAGCCATTGCATCCTACTTTTCCACGAGACATTCTCTGCTCCTGCCACGAACCCTGCTTGGTGCCCAGCCATTCCAGGAGATCTAATAATTTCAACTGAGTGGAACAGGATGTAACTGTCCATTCTGGTTGTGACTGAGGCTCATTAATGTTCTTAGAATTCAGGTAAATAGTGTTAACAAGGCTTGCAGAGCACTTCATAAGTGAGTATAACCATGTAAGTGGGATCCATAGGCCTTTGAGAATCAGTATCTACCTTGATGAAAGGATGGATGTTTCATGGAGGCATTCATGTTGCATCTGCATGCATGCTGGTTAATCTTCAAGCTCACAAATTCTATAGTATATTTCCTTGTTTTTATTTTATTTTTTAACCAATGAACACATGCAGTAAATGAGAACTGCTATCTAACATAAAGAGCTGATCTCACGCTTGCTGCAGCCCCACTTGCAACAGGCATTGCTCAGGCTTTCCATAACATCTCGGGCTCTGCGATCCAAAGGCCGGGGCTCTTCGGAGAGGGCATAGCTCTGCTGACCTTGCCAGCTCCCATAATTGTCAGTGGGATCCTGTTGGGAGGAATGGGCTGGATTCCATTCATTGGATAAGGATGTTGTATCAAATGCTTCTGCAGGATCTCTCCCAAGGAGAGCACTGAGATTTCCTACAATGAGAAGGTAACAGTGGAAAATAGGGAGATCAGGAGCAAGATATTGGGCTCAGTAAATAGATACTGTGCTAAGAAGTCAATTGCATCAGAATATCTTAATAAGCATTAGATGAAACTGAATAAATATTTAGGCAACCCACATATTTAACATCCTGTACAGAAGTAGCAAAACCTACATTTCCCATGACACCTTTGGAGAACAAATGCTTTGTAGGTTGTCTTGGTGAATTGTTATTAACTTTGTTGGTAATATTAATGTTTTGTAAATAAACAAAATATCTGAAACAATATATCTGAAGCAGAAGGCTGAGCAAATTCTAAGATTAGCAGATATTCAGATTTAGCCGTTTCCAAACAGGGCTTGAGTCTCAGTATTCTAAGCATTTTTTTTGAAGGGGAATAAGGTGAGCAATGGTTGGATAACAGCAGTTTCTACATATCAAAGTCAATGGATGTGACGATGATTGTTGATTAGTATAAACTGCAGAATCGGGCTTCAGAACATTGATGGGAAAATGCCTTATGTCAATTTAATTGCCATCGGATCTGTTTGGGCAACCAAAAGCATATTGAAAAGGTGTTGACATTAGAAGGAAATGCTTGTAATTTAGTTTCCCAGACAGGGATGTTTAACCTGTCTCTTGTCTACAGCTTTGTAATTATATCCTCTTCCTCCAACCCTAATCGCTTTCAGATGTGTAGCTTCTGTTTTTAATAGAGGAACAGGAAAGGGTAGGAAGAAATGGGCAAAAGTTTAAGAGAGGCTTGTGGTATCTCTAGCTGAAGAAGCGATGCAACTTAGATGTGCCTTGGTTTCTATATTTTTCTTGACGTATACATTCTTTTCAGTACCAAATAAGATGTGTTCCTCAAACAGTACCCAAGCTTTGTACCTAAAAGGTCCCACGTTTGGTTTCCAGCATCTCCTGGTAGAGCAAAAAAGACTCCTGTTTTCTACAGGAATGCCTTCTACCAGCCAAGTATTGTACTGTCCATTAGTAAGTTGTCCATTAGGGAAAATCTAATACAATAAAGTGTCTTCCTATATTTTTATATGATTTTAACTGGACAGATTATACCTACTTTTAAACTCAATCTAGCATTCTTGGGAGAGTATGGGTGACAAATCTCATCTCATGTAGCAAGGTATTTACTGACTGAGATAATGGGAATTGTAACCCAACTTGCACAAACTGAGTAATGAAAGTTAATTAAGTTTGTTGGTGAATGGCAGGGCAGCATCCCTGAATGTGCCTTCTCACAGCTACCCTTTGTTGGAAATACACTAAGGGCTATGAATCAAAGAAGCTGAGCCAAAGGCAATGGAGCAAAGGGATAAGAATTGCATGGCTCTGTCTTGGTGCAGCAGCTTCTTAGTCCTTTCCTGTTCTGTAAATGGTACTATATGCTATTGCAAGTTTCCACTAACTAGCGGCATACAAACACACAGAAAGCAATGCAAGGACAGCTTCAAATGCATGGCACAGTGGGGAACCACACAGCAATTTTGAGCTAATGCCCATGCTTATAACAACAATAAAATAATTTTGGTTAGTTCTCAGGCCAGTCCAATTGTCTCCCAATTTTACCTTGGTCAGAGCATTCTTTGCATCTTTTTACAATTCCTTTCTAAAGCAGCAGTTTGTGAATGAAAAGCTGCTCTTTCCTTCATGACTTTCTTCTTTCAGTTCTCAAATATTTGCCTGGCATGTAGATACCTTGCACATGAAAGTCCTTTCCCTACAGTGAGGCTTGCAGATTGCCCTATGGGTCTGCTGAGCCCTGCAGACCCATAGGCCAATGGGTCTGCAGGGTATGGAATGCAGTATTGCGAGCAAACTCTGTCCACAGCCTGGAGTTTGAGCCTGATGGGGCTCAAGGTTGACTCAACCTTCCATCCTTCCGAGGTCAATAAAATGAGGAGCCAAATTGTTGGGGGCAATATGCTGACCTTGTAAACTGCCCAGAGGGTGCTATAAAGCACTATGGGGCAGTATATAAGTCTGAGTGCTATTGCTAAACAATTTGTGGCTTTCTTTTTGCATTTTTTAACATCTGGCTTCCTACAGACTGGGAACTGAGACCTAGAGAACAACTGTCTTTTTCTAACTCTTCCTTAAACTTAACACTACCTTTTCTTTACACATGAATAGTAGGATTGGCCAGTTTGTATTTTATATTGGGAATCTCCTTAAAATCTGGCAAGATGATATTCGATGAAACTGTTTATCAATCTTGTCTAATATTTAGATCTTATCAAATGGTAATTTGTTTGATTTTTCTCCTTCAAAAAGTATAATTTTCCAAATAAAGATTAGGCCTCGGTGAAGCACCCGTGTTCTGGAAAGTATCTGGGTGTTGGAAGGTGGTAACCCAAAATCCCCATTATGCAGGACTACGTTAGCTGGGAATTTTAAGAATTGTAGTCCTATCCTATCTGGAGGGTATCACATTGGGGGAGGCTGCTGTATCTTTAACAATTTAGGCTTGTGGAAAGTCAGAGCCCCAGAGAAGGAAATATTAAAAGGGCAGAAAAATATATTTCCTCAAAAGTATTTTAAAAAGCAGAAACCAACTTTGGCTCCAAATCTATCTCTCTGCCCCCAAGCCAACTATCCCAAACAGGAGCTAGCCCCATACAAATGCAGATGTAAAACCATCAGAAAGTTGAAGCCAGAGCAATCAAGAAGACAAAGAGAAAATCTGCATACCCACCCAAACTCTAGGAGTCATTAGCCCCATCACCTGGGAAGCAGGATTTGATAATAGGATTAAACCACAGATATCAAGGCCTAGAAAAACACTCAAGGTTCATGCCACAGGAACAGGAAACTATTCCAAACAGGGCTGGAGGGGGTATAAAAACCTTCTACCCATGTGCTCACTCTTCTCTTCTCTCCTCTGCTCTTTCCTGAAGAACCATCTTTCTGCTTCTGCAATAATCTGTAACCTTCTTCCCAAAGCAGTCGCCATGTTTGCTTATTTATTCCCGGCTTGGATGAACCAGGATGAAGACTTTACTTCTATCAGGCTCTAGCCCAAGTTTGCCCACATCCCCTTTGCTCACCTGCTCGTCTCCAGCGGGATCCTCCACAAGTGAAGATGACAGCACGGATGAACTCCCTGCCACACAGCTTGACACCATAGGGAGGTGTCCTGGCTTCACTCACCAGCCATTTCTCTGAGAGCAGCACTACAAGCAACAGAGCCAGGAGGAACTTGGGCATGGCTGAGAGCGCTGCAGGATGAGAATGGGGTTTCCTGCAGCAGCACGACTCCCTTTTGCCAGCTTCTCTCAATGTAGCTGAGTCCTTTTTATATCTCCAGGTGGACATGAGCATCTTTCTGGCTATCTCCCCAATTAACAGCAGGAGGGGACAGAGACCTTTCTTGGTGGGGGGAGGGGCTTGGGGATACACACTTAATCAGAGATAACCTTTTCCTTGTTATCAGCTGGGCAGATAGGGAATTGGGTTCAGCGCTTACCTGGCCTTTCCTGGCAGGGACAGACATGTAGGTGCATACAGAAAAAATGCACAGCAAGATATGCAAATGCTGATAACGGGTGGGAGAGGAACACAGGCAGAACAACTCACCAAGACTCCCTACACCTATCTATGCATTTTTGAAGACTTTTATGTCCCAAACGCATCAATAGAAGCAGGAAGGCAGACAAGCAGGTTTCTCACTCTTTTTTTGTGTAATATTTTATTAATTTTCCAATTTTACATTTAAATATTTAAAAGCAATGTGGTGACTGGGTTATAATAGTTCAATAACAAAATCTTAGTGCAAATCTCTGATTACAACATCGAATATTTCTTCTCTTTTTCCCTTAACATTTACTGTCTCATATTCAGGTTAGTACATTTCTAATTATATCAACTCAATTAGAACATAATTATTACATTTATCAAATCAATAATCAATAAATCAAACATATTCATAATATTTAACTTTCTTTTCCCTTTTAAGTCCAATTTTTAAATATTAAGCCGATAGAATCCTTATTTTCAACTAGTTTTCAAATATTATAAATCTAATAACCAAAATTCCCCTTATCTCAACATCTTCCTTTAACCCTCTAATTGACAATATAAAATCCCCTCTAATGAGTCAAAATCTGTTTTTTAACCTTATTCTAGCTTTCTTCCTTTGCCAGTCATGCTTCCATATCAGCCTGTTTAAATCATCAAATAGATCTCTATTCTTACATGTATTGTTTGAATTAAAGGAGACCATTTAATTGCCAGTTTTCTGGGAGAACTAGCCCATTTGTATCCGTTAAATTGTCTCCCTGTTATTCCAGTTCCCTATATTTGCTCTCATCTATTTGTCTTCAGTTCGATCTGTTCCACTTTTTTCTCAAATTTCTTCTGATTTACATAGAAAGTCATTTCCATTTTCAATGTTGTCACTTCCTTTTCTGGATTTTCCATCAGGTATATTTGGTGGTCAATTGGGTCCTCTGTCTTTATATTTGGTTGTCCCGCTTCTTCTGTTATCTTCTGCATTGTAGGTTCTTTAGTTGTAATCAAAATTTGGCTTTGTGCATCTAAGCTGCATCTTGATCTTTTATTTTAGGTCTCATTTTGTCACAAGCTGAAAGAATGCTTTCGTATAATGCTTTCAACATAGAAAGATTTTTTTTCCTGGTCCTCATCCATCTTTAACTTGTTTGTAAATAGTCTTTCTAGTAAAGGTTGTTTGTTAAGCAAAAGTCAGTAAATGTTTACAGTCACACTTCAAGTGGGGCAATTTTGTTGCCCAGCTGTTCTCTTACAGCTGAATCTTCTCACAGATGGTTCCAAGGTCAGGAAAATCTTATCTAGGTCTGGGCTTTGAGCCAAGTCTCTTTTTAGGAAATAACAAATTGCAATACCAAGCTTCACCACAAGATATCACCAATGCCGTTTAGAGTATTTTAAGTCCCAAATTATTTAGAGTTTTTAAAGTCCCAATTATTTCTTTTTTGTAGATAAAAACAAAAGTCTCCAATAGAAATAGGAAAAATTTTAGTCCCCAAGTTTCAGAAACATATAAATCCAATTAAATTAAAGTTGTTCTTTTTAATGCTTTGATTTCCCTGGGTAGTCAGATGCCGCTATTCTTAGAGGGTTGGATAGAATTTCCCTTCCCTCTCTCCTCACAGGGAGAAGATATTTCACAGCCTTTACAGGAAAAGAAGGTACTTGGGGCAAAGAGAAGATCAGATCTCACCCAGTTTCATCCGCGTTGCTTTCAGAGTGCTTGATAGTAGGTTTGACTTCAGCTGTCTGCAGCCTAATGACGAGCCATATTGCTATGGCCGGTCTTTTCTCCGCCAGTTTGGAAGGCTGCCCCGGATCGAGTGGGAGGACTGCCGCCCTCCTGCAATCAGACGGGGGTCACCTCCTTGCTCGTCGCCCCTACAGGGTGACTTTCGACCCTTTCCAGGGTTCCCCAGTGAAGGAAAATCGGACGTGGAAGACGGAATCGTCTTCCAAGCGGCCACAGCGGCCGCAGTGGCAAACCAGAAGTCGCAGGTTTCTCACTCTTATTACATCTCCCAGTTTACCATGATCAGCTTGGCCATTTGTCAGGAGTAGCTGGAAATTATATGCCGATTGCCTGCAATGCACAAGGATAGAGACAGTTCCTGTTGTGTTACATATTTCTGTCAGTCTTTTAACCAATCAACCACCTTAGAGCTACCCTCAACAATGGTGCTCCAGAGCAAATGCACTATCTTTCCCTTTGTATTTGTATTGTTTACTGGATTTATCAGGTCATTAAATCAGGAGACTTAAGACATTTCACATAGTTAAACTCCATTAAAATACAATATAAAATCAAATAAGTTATGGGAGGAATGCTTACCAACTACCAGTTATCCACTAATCTGAGCCAGAAATTGTCTGAATCTCTCACCTCTTTGAAAAGCTACTTTTTTGTGGTTGTTTTTAGAACAAAGGTGGAGTTATAGCAACCACCTCTGGGTGGGGATGGTATTTCAGGGGGCTGGACATGGCTCTGGTGTTTTACAGGATGACACTGTTTAGTCACTGAGACCTGAAGCACACCATCCCTGTAATCTTATATAGGATCGGCAGAAATAATTGGAGAAAGTTGTCTATGAAGAACCAGGCTTTATAGATGACAATCAACACTTTGAATTGCACCCAAAAGCTCACTAGTAACCAGTGTAGCTCATGGAGCAGAGGTGTCACCTGGGCATATTGAGGTGCACCCAGAACTGCTCTTATGGCTATATTTTAGACAACTATCTTCAGTGGAAACTCTATGCAGAGGACATCAAGAGGTGTCTAAGGCAGTGATGGCGAACCTTTTAGAGACCGAGTGCCCAAACTGCAACCCAAAACCCACTTATGCATCGTCGGGTGCCGGGTGGGCGTGGCCCATTGGATAGGTGTGGCCCATTGGGTAGGTGTGGCCCATTGGGTGGGCGTGGCTGTGGTGGTAACGGCAGACTGGGTGGGACTAAAAAGTTCAATCAATCAATTCCAACTTTGCAAGATCTTTTTTTTCCCATGAGAAGTTGAAATTGACTGATTGAACCTTTTTTTTTTTTGTACACGGCGGCGGAGGCCTAAAGTGAAAAGGTTTTATAAAACCAAGCTGAAGGCCTAGGACTGGGGTGATGGCGTGCGTGCCCACAGAGAGGGCTCTGAGTGCCACCTCTGGCACTCGTGCCATAGGTTTGCCACCACTGGTCTAAGGCATGAATAACTGTGAGCAAGTTCTGCTGCTCCAGAAAAAAGTACATGAGATAGATCTATGAAAACGACTGCTGTTTGCTGTTGCTGCAAGAGCTGTGTGCATTCAGCTTATGCATAGATCTGCCTGGGGAAATGCAACCACATCACAATTAAATAGGGCAGGTTGTTGTGTCCTGAGCCTGCATCTTGCAGGCTCGGGACGTTGCAAGAGTCCCGGGCAATTGCAGAAGCTGCCCGGGACCAGACTGAGCGGCGCCGGCCTTGCGTGCATGCGCAAGGCGGGAAAAGCCCGCCTCAGGATTGGTTGAACTTGCCCGGGGATCAGAGGGTATAAATAGAGGCCTGCGTGCCTCTGCTCTGTTTGTTCGTAGAATGGAGCAAACAATAAAAACTTGTTGGAGATGCTTCGTCTCAAGCGCCATTATTCCCAGGACTTAACACTGGCGATGAAGGTGGGATTCAGTCTCTACGGCTAGAAAAGCTAGAAGACTTACCCAAAAGAAGTCTGGGAAAGAAACGGCGTGGAAGTCAGCGTTATCCTGCCAGTACGAAATCGCTGGAGGGTGCGTGCGACTGAAGAAGAAGAAACCTTACCATCGATCATGGAAAAGGTTGGGCAATTAGAGGCTTTCGACGTCTCTCACCCCGAGAGGTGGGAATCGTATGTGGCAAGAGTCGAGACGTATTTTCGCATCAACCAGATTCGAGAGGAAGGCTTAAAGGCTGCCACATTGTTGTGCGTTTGTGGGCAAGACGCCTTTGAGATCGCCGAGAGTTTAATCTCCCCAGTCTCGCTGGAAACGGTGTTGTACTCCGACCTCAAGAAAACCTTAAAGGAACATTTCCAGCCCAAGCAATCAGTTATGGCTTGGAGGCACACATTTCAACAGAGAGATCAGCAAGTCGGTGAATCAGCAAAAGACTATGTTGCGGCCTTGAGAAGAGCAGCTAAACCGTGCGACTTCAAGGACTTAGAAGAAAGACTTCGCGATCGTTTTGTATGCGGGCTGAGAAACACAGAATTGCAGCAGAGACTGTTCGCCAGGGAAGATGTTTCCTTCCAAGATGCTCTGCGAGAGGTTTCGGCTGAAGAAGCTGCC